TAACCTTTGTTGGGTTCAAATCAGCCTCTTGAGTCTCAATACTGAACCTTGTGGAGGGTCATGTTAGCTACTGTAGTGCCATACTTGACCATTGTCACATCACATCACATCAGATTCTGAACTCCCTAACTTACCAGCATTAGAAGTGCACCCTTACTGATTATTGTTGTACATAAAGCAAAAAGATAATTAAAGGATCATTAAAAAAAATATTGATTAGATTAGAATATTTCTAAATTATTTAAATACCTTGTGTATGCATTAGTTATTGAAGTAAGACTTTTCTGTGACTATTTATTGCTGGCAAAACCAGGTCCCCAGCCATATGACCTGAATGAATCTGTGTATTTAGCATTCCAGATGTTTAAGATGAAAATGAATGTCAGGTACAGAAAGATAATATTGAATTAAACAAATGCTCTTACTCACACACAACAGAATTCTTTCAGGAAATTTCTACTGTTACCTTTATCGTCAATGCCATATAGTTTTCATTTCAGCGAAAAATAAATATGTTGTAATTTATTATGCCTTTTAAAAAATCAAGCAGAATTATTCCATTCAATACAGTCTAACAAATCTTTTGATCTAATCCAGTCTCACAAAGGAAAAAATAAGAGTTATTTTGTTTAAAAAAAAAAAAACTCAAACAAATCTTACAGTGGTGTCTCCCTTTAATAAAGAGTTATTCCCCTTGAATATGATGTCAAGCAGCATCAAAAATATAGTTGACTCGAAGGTGCCGATAGCAGAAACAAATTTCCACAATATGTTTTGTCTTTAACTCATTCACCCCAGAAGATGCAGTTGAAATCTTCCAATTCAAAGGTTGAAATAGTTCATTATGAAATTTCAGGAGTGAATGAGTTAAGGCTTGTAGATGGAAATCTGCATTTCATTAGTAGGGTTATCTAGAATCTCTCAAATGTGCCGCTAAAACGGAAAGAATAAGCAATAGTTTGTATCAGATAATGATAATATCATGGAATCGAAACAAACAGTTGCTTTAGGCATAGACACTGATATTGATTGGTCAGGGACGATGCACATGCATGTATTTCCTGGGGGTCAGTTTGGGGTCAGGGTTTTCATTAGTAGATAGGGGTCAAAGGTGATAATAGGAACCTATCAGTCACTGCAGGCCAATCGTAGTAATGAGTTATCTCAGAGGTTAGGATTTATGACAAATAACCCGGTAACTTTAGCCAATCCAGGATTGATCTGGGTACAGAGAGGGTAATGCTGGACCTGAGGGGCCTAGTTCAACCATTATATATCTTGTGCTTTTACATGTAGTTCCATGCAAAATGAAATATGTGTGTGTGGGGGGGGGGGGGGGGGGGGGGGGTACCTGTCAGTGTTCTAGTTTATACACTGAAGAATTAATTAACTTAGTATGCTACTTATACCTAGAATTCAGAAATATCTTTTCCAAAAATTATTTAACAGAATTTTGTTTGGATACTCCAACATAGAGATACCATACCATTCGTACAGTTTGGGAAAACAAGCTTATATCTTTTATAAATTCCTTCACAAAACTGTTTACATTTGAGGTGTGGGTAAACAACAAAATGGGAAGTTGAGGATATGAGTGGAGATCAGTAAATTCCTGGCTGTGTATAACATCACAGACAATATATCTGTAGGAGCATGCTACTAAGCATGTAACAATTTGTTATTGGTAAAAACACTTCACAGGCATTGTTTAACGTTTTACGTAACAATTTCACATTGTTCTCTAAAATTCATTGATCACCACCAGACAGCCACTGTCCATATAGCTTACAGAATTCTTATAAAAATACCGGACCAGTGTTTTTCAGAATAACACATACATCACAAAAATCTTTAGTAGTCGGGATGTAAAAATTACATGATCTACTTTGATTCTTTCATTTATAGAACATTTGCTAACTAATTTTTATAGCGAATTTAAAAATATTTCTTGTCATTTTGGCATTTCAATACAGTATACATTTATGTATTTTAAAAGCCTAACATAATTTGATTTGTTGAATTTTGACACATTTTATACCTCAACTGGAGACTACAAAAACTAGAACCTGAATAATCGGGTGTGTGGATCTAAAAGATACTCAGCTTTATTGAGCGAACTTTTCCCCGTCTAGTCAGCAACATTCCATAGTAATCTAGCAAGCTATAACCAGTGAAATATTGAGAAACTACGAAAATGGAATCTATGAGGAGTACTTCTTTCTGGTGTAGAGGAGAATTTAACTGATTTGCACTCTAGCAGTGTTAATAAAACCTTGCAGAATGGTAAAGCTGTAATGGTAAAGCTGTACCTTATCTTACTGTGTGATAAACAAGCACCTACAGTCTTCTTCCCTATGTGTTTCTCCCTCATATTCCTCAGTCTTCCACTCCCATATTTAATCTTATCATCAACACACACACAAAAAACACACACACACACACTCCCTGTGCCATTCTGTTACCACTATTTCACTTCCTTGTTTATCCCTTTCCATCTTCCTCCAATTTCTCCAGCTGTATTTCAAATATTTCCTCAATATTCTTTCATATGTGTGAATATCCAGCTACCTTGTACATTCCTTCCATCTACCTCATAATTCTCCTTCCTTCCCNCCCCCCCCTCCCTATTCCAGTCCCTCTCCCGAACGAATATTTCTTCATATAAATATATATTATACATATGAACATGTATATACACAACCAGCCTGTGTAATCCCTAGTGTATTGATGGTACAGCCCTGATCCAATCAAGTGAACCCCTGCTGCCTAATCATTAGCACAGCCCCCATCAGGGTACGATATCCTGGAGTCTTCATTCATCTAAATTCCTCTCTAATCTCTCCACAACTACTATCTAGACTACACACGCTAAGAATAAGGTGGCTATACATATACCTGTGAAATCCCTGGAGGGGGAGGGGATTAGATTGTTAGATGTTTGGGAGGGGAATATTTTACCCAACTTCCTGTATGTTGTATAGACAGGGTTAACTGCAGGAAGAAGGATGGGCTTTGTAAAGCTGGCTTACCTCTGGAAAACCCGGGTATTGTATCGTTTGGTTCTTAAGTATGCAGGAGAATTTTAAGAAATAATTTCTTAACAGATTTAATTGTGTATTTGTAAATATATGTACAGGTTATTGCAGAAATAAAGCCGAGAACTTCACTGGGGCTTTGGTCTTGATGAGGAAGAAGGATTCTAGATTCTAGGCAGGATTCAAAGATTTCCTTATAAGGATATTGTTAAAAGAGAGGATAGGTACACAGGATGATGAATCTTCTGTAGACTTAAGGCTGAAATGTGGCTTTCAAGCAAAAGTGCATTGCAAATTGTATAATGTACAATATTATTTCAGCAATGCTACATAATATACGGGGTGAAAGTATTACTGAGCTGGAGCGGAATCTTCTGCGGCAGCTATGCACTGGTATTCAACTCCTCACTATAAAAAGCTTGTGCATGATTTTTGCTATTTTAAGTGTAAAAACAGCAGGAAATATTCCCAGGAAGTTTGAATGAAAAGCAACAACATTGTAGATTATTGATCTGATTAATTAAATGCAGATTCTATACCCTGACATATTTCCTGTTGCTTATAATAATTACACAGGAAGTGGTTATTTGAACACTACAAAATGGCTATCACCATTATCTACATCACTGTACATAGGGTTTATATCTATATATTCAGACCTTTCATTTTAACCAAATAATTACCATACCCTCCCTATGATTGTACTAAATGCATCGCTGTACCGGGTAACCTTGGCTACCGTAAGGTTAGAGTATAGTTACATTAGGGGTCATTTGAAAGTGACTTACAAGGAGTATTTTGGGATGTTACATTGTGTCAAATAAATTGTATAGAGATAGCACTGTGTCATATTACACAGAACTGCCCCATTAAAATTTGGTGTCTTTTCACATCAGAAATCCTATTTTTGACCTTGCTTATAAAAATGCAGATTAGCCACAATTTCATAGCTTACTTAGAATATATATTAAAGTTGAATTAATTGCCGACTTGATGTCAGACATCTAGATGCAATATGTGATCATAAGGAGAGGAGAATGTTAGCTGGCCTCGACGACTAAATACCTGTGCTGTGTGAAACATTTACATTGTGGACACCTGTATATAAGGACCACCTTTCCAGTATGGACAGCTATAGTAAATATTGCATGTGTTTTGTGCAACCTTTACATAGCGGATACCTGTATATAGGAACCATCATTCAAGTTTGGGCAGACACAGAAAATAATACCTGTGTTTTATGAAACCTCTTGATTGAGGACACCTGTCTAGGAAGTACCTGTTCATTGTTGTTTATTGAAACATGTACTGGAGGGGAACAAGTTTCCCTACTCTGATTCAGGATTTGTTCTGCGTGCTGATAGTTCTTCCTCAGGTAAACCAATCAAATGGCATGTGGTCTTCTTACTTGACACAGTTCTTGATGATTTTCATTGGCTGAAAAATCTTGATGTTTTATAAATATTTATGAATATTGTTTGTGATTGTTTAGGTGTCTGAGTAGGTTGGCTTTATTTGTGTTAAAGTATGTGGGAGGGTAGTGGGGGTGATTGGAGGGTAGTGGGGGTGATTGGAGGGGGTGGGAGGAGTTGATGGGTCAACAAGGGCTTACATTGATAATGAGTATGATGACATTTATATGTCATTTTAATCTTTAAAAATAATTGAAAATTAACAATGTACTAGGCCCTTTTATTCCAGAAAAAAAAGAAGGAAAAACTACATTGCATAATCCGTAATGAATGTAGCCTGAAATTCATAACAGCATTTTGCTGACAATTCTTTAATTGCATTTAAAAAAATTGTAAAGATGTTTTAAATTTACTTTATAGCTTTACACAGAATAGGAGTAATTACTGATAATTTGTTTACAATAGTAACATTACTTCTCTGAACACCATATTTCTTTGAAGTTATTACAGTGGGTAATGACACAATTAATGCTATATTTCGTTTGTGTTACAGCAGAGGTTCCAGAGACAGGACTCCACCTCCTCCCACAGTAGTTCTAGTCACCATGACAGCCTTAAGGACCGCTCAGTCAATGGTGACCGCGTGCGGCGGCGTGGCAGTCAGTCGTCTCAGTCCACCACAGCTGGCTACTCCTCCTCCAGTCCTACGATCTCCGGGGGTATTATTCGGCGGGACTCATCCACCGAGATGTCCCCGCGAAGTATGGACTCCCCACGTTTACATCGTGCCCAGAGCATGCAGAGGAATGTGATGGAACATAGCGCACCTCCTAGTAGATCCAGTAGTTACCGCTACACAGATCACCGTGCACGTGACGACATCTATCTCACACATGGCCACCCGCACAAGGCGGGGAGGCAAGGTAGCTTCACAGAACGTGACTACGGAAGTAAGTCGGATTCATATGGGACCAGATCGGAGTCCTATACGCCACCCTTAGGTATGAATCCAGAGAGTTTCATGCATGACTTGCATGAACGGCTCTACAGCCCCGGTATGTCGTCGGCGTCTTCATCTCGCGGGGAACCCGAGTGTATACCGTTCAGTCAGGATATTGTGAACCAACAAGGCAATGTTAGTCCCAGTCCCCTGAAACCAAAAACAAGGGCATTTCCACGAACAAACCCAGCATACGTTGGTGTACCTAAACGTAATGGCACGCCTTCTGTTATGTACAAAAGACTCAATGTAGAACAACAAATGGCCGAGGGCCATCCTGCGGAACCTTTGACTTACAGCTCTGCAGGCATTCAAATCGCACCTGGAGATTATGTTGACAATTATTACTATCCACACGAACGATCTGACAGTGAAGCCTCACATTCATCTACACGTGCGATAAAACATGAACGGACTGACAGTCAAACGTCTCATTCATCTCGGAATCGTGAATTGTCAGATTCCCAGTCTTCCCAAGGTTCATCGCGGAATACCTCGGACATTCATTCTTCACAAGGATCATTACGACTTCAGCACACCCATGACAGTACAATATCATTTCAGGACAGTGTTTCATCGCGTAGTTCAGCTCGTAGTTTTCAAGATCAAGAAATGCTTCGGGAGCAAGCCGGAAGTCGTTTATCACAAAATTCCTATAGGGCTTCAGACAGTGAGCGCAATGCTGATTATGCAAATATTCCCCAAAAAATTGTACCAATGTTCCCCGCGCAATACCAACAAGACACTAACCATTATCGTGAGGTCCTTAAAGACCGACAGAATATCCTTGACAATGTTAATTATCTTAATGACGGTATTCCCATCTCTACCCTGGAGTATAACCAACATCTAGACAGGGGACATAACTCCATGAATACTGTTCCTGTGATTCAGAACTCAAATTTTCAACCTGGAGGTAAATAGAAAAAAATCATTTTCATTTGAAAGGAAAATTGTATTTCTTGTAAGATAATGTGAACAAATTTCTTTATATTTTTGAGTAATGATTTTATTCTCACTTTTAAAAAATATATTCATGTAAAATTATCATCAATGGTTTTATGATTGGAAATATTTGCTGACTAAAGGGTGATGATTACATCCTGTTTACTTTGGACAACATCTAAGTAAAGGGAGGTAATGCAAGACCGTGTCTGATATTGTTTAGGGTGAGGTAAATATATATAAACGTCCTGTGTAGGTGACAGAGTCAATACCAGGCCAAGTGCAATTAATTCATGCATCTTTAAAAACATAAATTAGGTAAAATATTGTATTTTTTTTTTTTACAAAGGTTGTGTACAAAACTACATAACACTTTTATCAACATTTAAAAAATTATTAATTAACAAATAAAATTAAGTTGAATCTGATTTTGGACACAGTAAAACAGAAAGGTGATAGATAATAGAATTTTAAACGAAGAAAAAAACGTTTGGCCTTAACCACTGTATATCTAGTGTATTCGTCCTTTGTTATCTCTAGCCTGATATAGATATAGGTGGCTGTGTTGTATACAAACAATAAGACCGGGTCATGTCTGTATATGTTTGAAGGAAATTCATCTAGAACAGGTAATTATATAGGCCTTATAACACTGCACAAAACACTTAACACAGGAAATTTGGGGGGGGGGGGGGGGGTTAGAATATTTTTTTGGCATCGATGTGATATAAGCTTGTTGTTTCAGGCTGTAAAATGTCATTATTAGGATTAAAAATAAACAGTAGATGATATAGCCTTGTGATATTGTTAACATTATCCTGAAATTTTGCCTAAATGAAGGCCATTTCATCGTGACATTTAGTGGGGATTGTACACTGTATATATATATATATATATGGGGCAAAGAAGTAATTCCAACAGTGTGTCCTACGGACATACCTCCATTAGGATCCAGTGTTATATGGGATTTTACCGTCTATATTACTTCTTGGACCCAAATTAAAATTTAAATTAAATAATATAATCCGCCTGAAGAAGCCCTAGAAGGCAGAAAGGCCTAGCGGACGATCTGAAAAATTTGTTTTTATTCTATATTTTCCTTCGCAAGGACTTATTTATTTATTATCTACTATATATATATATATATATATATATATAGGCAGACTTTTGATATGAATAGGAAATGTTAGAATGTGGGAATCTCTATATAATAAAAATGGTTCTGAATAATAAATAATAATATGTTTTTTAGCCCCGGAATAATATTTTATGTCACAATGACAAAACGGATGAGTCAATCCCTCAGTCTGTAAATAATCGTAGTAAAATTAGGTGTTTGGCTCCTTAAACTTTATATAAGAAATTAGAAGTCAACAGTCTATCAACATCACATGTAGGTACGTCTAGAAGAAAGGGTACACCAATGTTACCTGTATTTTTGGCTCCACCAACTTTTTGTAGACTTTTCACTATAGCTTCATTTCTTTAAGACCATAGGCAGGGATCATTGTATATAGGCATGGTCAGAACAAGTCTGATATACTTCATTAATTTGATGTGACAATTTTAGTAACAGGGTTTGATATACTTTATAACATCATTTGATTTAATAACCCATTCACCCCTAAAGTCACACTTGAACCTTACCAAATCCAAGACTGGGCAAGTCCAGTTTAGATATGTAGGGATGAATGAGTAAAGAAACAAGATTTGGTGTATTCAGTATAAAAAAAAGATTTATTTAGTATCAAGATGTTATGTACTTAAACAGGGTTTGATGAATTAGTAATATGTTTAAACCTTGTTTGGTATATAACAGGGTTTGACTGTGTTTAAGTGTTTTGCATCAGTGATATAAATATATCTGCCTTTATCAGAGTAATTTAAAGATGAGTGATTCAGGTTTATCCTGACTCATCAGCACGTGGGTCATTGTCTCATCTCCTAATCGTGTGACATTGCATTTCAGTGGAATTAAACGAGAGTTACGATGAGGATGTAAACAGTAACGTTTTCTCCTCCTCGCCAGGAATACAGGAAAGAATCCAACAGGAACTAGCTCTAGAAATGCACCCTTCCTCTTTGAAACGGAAAAAAAATCCTGAAATGGCCGATTCCTCTCAGGGTAGCCCAGTGATAGAGAAAGGCTACCTTGTACACCAGCCTGACGTCATTCAACAACGACCTGTCTCAATGGTCGTCCCATCTCAATCCGATGCCAACGTCTCCCTTAGTCCCAGCATAGGATCTCTAAACAGACAGGTAGGCACAATAAGAGTTACCTCCCTTCGAACATAGTAACACAAGCTGTATGAACAGATGGAAAAGCCTTGAGGAAAAACTTTTTATCCTTCAAATGTTTTTTTCACATAATTTCATAAGAAAACAATAGAATTACAAAAAAACAATGGTCATCAATACTGACAAAAGTTACAACTTTCTAAGAGCTTGTCACAGCTGACAAACTAGTGGAGATAAGTGTCCCTTTCTAACTTCTGCACACAATCCTGAATTATTATTCAGTTTTAACATTGAATACATTATCAAATGGCCATAAAACTAACAGATGTTCGATAAGGTTCAAAGAAAATTTTCACAAGATAAAACAAATATTGTTTCGTAAAAAAATACTACGATTAAAATGAATTTATAGCAAGTGTTCATGAGGTAAAACAAATAATTGTTACGAATAAAGTTGATGATAATGTCAGAAATATTTTGATATCCTTATCTACCGCGATGTCCACCAGTTGTTTGTCGATATGTAATTATTAGACCATGAAGCTAGCACTGACACAGTATGATTATTAGACCGTGAAGCTGGTACTGACACAGTATGATTATTTGACCGTGAAACTGGTACTGACACAGTACGATTATTAGACCATGAAGCCGGTACTGACACAGTATGGTTATTAGACCGTGAAGCTGGTACGGACACAGTATGATTATTTGACCGTGAAACTGGTACTGACACAGTACGATTATTAGACCATGAAGCTGGTCCTGACACAGTATGATTAGTAGACCATGAAGCTGGTCCTGACACAGTATGATTATTTGACCGTGAAACTGGTACTGACACAGTAAGATTATTAGTCCGTGAATCTGGTACTGACACAGTAAGATTATTAGTCCGTGAATCTGGTACTGACACAGTATGACTATTAGACCATGAAGCTTGTACTGACACAGTATGACTATTAGACCATGAAGCTAGCACTGACACTGTATGAATATTAGACCATGAAGCTAGCACTAATACAGTATGATTATTAGATCGTGAAGCTGGTACTGACACAGTATGATTATTAGACCGTGGAGCTGGTACTGACACAGTAAGATTATTAGACCGTGAAGCTGGTACTGACACAGTATGATTATTAGACTGTGAAGCTGGTACCGACACAGTATGATTATTAGACCGTGAAGCTGGTACTGACACAGTTTCATTTGTTCCTTAGACCGTGAAGCTGGTACCGACACAGTATGATTATTAGACCGTGAAGCTGGTACTGACACAGTATGATTTGTTCCTTCGACCGTGAAGCTGGTACCGACACAGCATGATTATTAGACCGTGAAGCTGGTACCGACACAGTATGATTTGTTCCTTAGACCGTGAAGCTGGTACTGACACAGTATGATTTGTGTCTTAGACCGTGAAGCTGGTACCGACACAGTATGATTTGTTCCTTAGACCGTGAAGCTGGTACGGAGACAGTATGATTATTAGACCGTGAAGCTGGTACCGACACAGTATGATTATTATACCGTGAAGCTGGTACTGACACAGTATGATTATTAGACCATGAAGCTGGTACTGACACAGTATGCTTTGTTCCTTAGACCGTGAAGCTGGTACCGACACAGTATGATTATTAGACCGTGAAGCTGGTACTGACACAGTATGATCATTAGACCATGAAGCTGGTACTGACACACTATGATTTGATCCTATCTGGGTACAAATTATAACAGAATGAATGCACTGATGAATTATATAATTGGTCACAAAAGAAATGTGTTAATTGGTTTTAGTTCAAAATACAGATAAAATATCCTAATAATTTGAGTGCTACTTACCGTCAATTATTATCCTTATGTCATATTTATCAGGCAATAAGCCCTTATCTGGTTATAAGCTCTTAAAAAATCTTATTGCAATTAAGTAAAAATGCCAAATATTATTGTCCTGTAATAAGCCCATCCTAACTTTGAGATGCAGATCATGTTGACCTATTTGGCTTATTAGAGGATAAATATGCTAATTAGTTGTATACTGAAAGTTAGGGAAAGGTATTGATAAGGTTATTTATGATTAATGGTTACATTGTGTAACCAAGTGACCGTATTTACGATTGATGTTTACACTCTAAAATGAAACCTATGTAAACCAATACATGTACTGTAAACCGGGAAATTTCTGCCATATCATATTTGCGCCCTTCGACGGCAAAATCCAGTTTTGGCCAATATTAAATTCGCCCTTCACATTTAATTACGATGTATGTTATGTAGTTTACAATGTTTTAATGATAAATTGGCCCTCATTATGGAAGGCCAAGAGGGCGAAATTTTCAACTTAGCTTAGCTTAAAGTCCAGTATATACAGGTTTCTAAATTACTCAGGGTTTGATTTAGACATATTATGTTGTATGATGAAATAAATTATAGTGTTTCTCTTTAAATAAATCTTTGTAGTTGTCATTGTTTCAGACGCGAGCAGGTACAGCTCCTCCCATTCGAGCGGCAAGCCCGTTGTCCCAGAAACAAAAGCTGCCCTCCGACAGCGACATTGAGAACTATGCTCAACAGTACATGAATCGACACAAAAAAGGACTCTTTGGGAAAAAAGTTTCCGTAGCAACCATGCTGACATGGTCAAAGGTGAGACTGTCTCTGCAATGTTATGCTTGTGACTTTTGAAAATCCATACAAGATGACCATTTGTGGTTTGCCTGTCCAAGCAAGGTGACTAATAGATTTGATTACAAAAGATGTATTTTTAGAATAGTTGCGAAAAGCTATTTATAAACCCTAGTACAGGACCATAAGAATTAAAACACTTAAGAAAAGTTATTTATTAACAGTTTGTAATTTGTCCGGCACCAAGAACTTCAGCGTATTAAAAGTGCTTGACCCATGCCTGCCAATTGGATTTAAAAAAAATCAATTTTCAGAATAGTTGCAAAAAGTTATTTTTAAACAATAGCACAGTTTTTGCACAGTGACCATAAGATTAGCCAATAATATAGAAATATATCATTACGGTTAGTCACGAAAAGTTCTGTATGTACAATATGTTAATTGTCGATCACCAAGGACTTAATGGTAAAGTGACCCCTCCCTTCCTGTTGCGTGAATCCATGGATATACCGTCCCGGTGTCTGCATGTAGATCCCGGGGTTGGTGACGGCGGGCTTCATCAGCCTTTGTTAATGTTTCCTATCTAGAAAGCCACACATCCTGATCTCACAATTTTTCTTCCGGCCGACATTTCTGAATGTTGTAGGTGTATATACAGTCACATGCTTGGAAAGGATTTCATTAGCACTTTAAAAAACGAGTCACGTTGGAAATTTGGGGTATTTATATAACACTTAGGTAATTATGTAAAAAGGAACACGTATATAAACTGAAGGATGAGTAGTATGTGATCAAAATAAATAGATAGACTGTGTTGGATGCACGCCCCGATCATTCCGTAAGATCACAGTGTCAATGGGTAACTGTATAGAAGCTGAAGACTATAGGGAAGTAAGCACCAGCTGTACAGAATCCAGCTTCGCGTTTCAGGTAAACTTTCGTGTTATCATTTAATATTTTCTCCTTTGTATTGGACATGAAAATTCAGTTTAATTTTATTTCCTCTCACTTTAAGGTAAAGGGTGTAAACAAAAGAAACCATTTTTCACATTCGTCACTATTGTGAAATATTTGTTTAATTCCTTTTCAAAAGAATTATTCCATCACTTGTCGCAATGCATTTTACCTAAATATGCTTGTTCCAAATTTGAAGGTCTGAAAATAGAAATAAAAAAGAATATGGAAAAATTGTAGAGGTAGAACTTAAGACCTTTACATTGCTAAGCCTACTCATCACTAATGTTTCAATCCAGGAATGATCAATTTTCTACATCAAAATGTGTGTCCAAGTTATGAGCTACAATGTCTTTGGCTTGACAGGGGAAGTTACTCTAAGTCAGAATAATTACTTTTGGTTACTTTATCTTTGTTCCATATTAAAGGGGAAATACTGCAAGTCAAAAACAATTAAAACTGATGTAGTGGTACCTCTTACCTTAAATTCAATGGTTTCTTTATGACAATTATGGACTTTTCATGAGGTTTTACGCATTGTTTTGTGAACCTGAAAAAAATAACATTGACAGAAGATGAAGAAGTTAACATTAACCTTTTTGTATCTACATATAGAAAGATAAGTCCTTAATTGACATCATGGAAAGACTTTGTAGCACTAGATAATTCATTTGATTTATCATGTCTGGACTGGGAATTGAACCAAGAACCTCTGAACTCTAAACAGACATTCTAACTATCTAAGCTACCAGTTCACCGGTTATCACACATCCCAGTCCTGCTACTAATGGGTTAACCACCTTTCCAATGAATTATTTAATTCCTTCTATTTTATCTTTGATTAAAATGTTAACATTCTCAACACTTGCTATCCAAATGGTACGAATTCACACCCACTCACCAGTCATCATCAATCAGCCATTGATGTTGTAGGTTTGGAATCTTTTAACCCTTTCCATTCAGACAGGAATCAATTGTTGGTCGGGCCATTGAGTTGGCTGGTGTTGACTAATACAGCTTGACACTCTTAAGTTGGTGTGACTGGGGTAAAGTGTAGGTACTTGTATATCTATCGTGGTAACGATGGGGGGTGGTAAGGACACTTTAATGTGTGTGGGATATTTATACTGTACTTGTTATAACCCATTCGTACTCCAAATCATTAAGAATATTGTCCATTGACAGATTTGGACACTTATCTGGGATTCCTATTTAGGTATTTGGGGGTTTCCAAATTAGATCATTATAAAAATTGTGACGAAGATCAAAAAGGTGATAGAAATGGAGAGATTCCAGAAAATTTCTATTACATATTAACAAGATTCATTTTTTTTTTGTACTTGATATCATCTGAAGTTGGGGTCAAATCCTATGAGAAATTCATGTTAGCAGGCTCAGTATCTACTTAGGTGGAAAAAATGACTTTTAAGTCCAACGTTTTTTTTTAAAGTGAATTTCATAATGTCAAATATTATCAATTGTTCTACTTAGATAATTGATGTAGGTAATTATATTCTCCCTAAACCTTTCTGTGCTTTGGTTATGTGATCTAGTGAGGGTTATACTACAAACAGACCATGTAAGACCAACACTTTACAGACACACACAGACACAAACAAAATTGCCTAAGGTTATTTCTAGTATAATTGAACATGTCAGTGACATTGATATTTGTTCCCACCTATATTGAATGACCGATATGTATTTATTTGTGTAGACTGGAATTCCTGTTTTGACGTTAGATAGCATCTCTTTAGCCCAGGGATATGTCTGTACATGAATATAGACCTACTGGTATTACGGTCAAGGTAGATAACTGGTCAGGGACAGGTATTGTCTTTGATGTGCTGTACAACCTGACTTGTTGTAATCATCCCTCCAGGGGTCGACATCTTAAATGTCTGTGTTATATACACAAAAGTAGACCAATTTATTGAACGTTTCATGACATAGTACCCAAAGAATTGATGCATCATCAATTTCTGTGTATTGATTTTATCTCGTAGTGAATCTTTGACTCCAATCATTGTATGAGCGTTGCCAAGAGTAAAAGTAGTACATTCAGTAACATAAAGGTATAAGGTTGATATCTTCCCTTGAAAAGAAACGCAATTTCAACAATGATGTTGACGAGAAGAAAACGATTACCGAAGGTAATGTATTCAACACCTTAATTCTGTCGGACACAGAAGTAGACTGACAGTAACACAATCAATAATACATAATACATACCCACATCTTGGTGGGTTTTTTTTGTCAAGATTTTTAACTTGAATGCAATTTCATGTTTTTCAGGACCCTATCCAGAAGCCGATTCTCCGAACAGAAGACAAGGGTGTGAAGAAAGAAGCATGTGACGTTTTCAAACATATCCTTTTTTGTCAGTCACTCATTTTTAGCTCACCTGACGCAAAGCCTGCTCGGAAAGAGTAGTATAAAATAGAGATAGCCAGAGAGAGAAAAAAACTTGAAATTCCTCCATCAGTACAAATTAAGTGATCTCAATCATTTAGTCTGGAGCATTCTTAAGCCAAGGAGACTTAATATGTGGTAATATATGCAAACTTACTTTTACTGGGAACATTTTTCAATGTTTGCTTAAATATCCAGGTGAGTGATACAGGTTCTCTTGGCTTCTTGTATTACAGATATTTCAGATCAGGCAAGACTCATAATGGGGTTCACAATATCTGTACAAATTTATGCTTTTATTGTGTCATTAAAATTTTAACTATTTTTGAAATACAATATACTGGATTAACCTTGAAAGTTAGCATTTTTCATCTACATTGGCACATCTACATTTGCTAGTTACTGAGTGGCATACATACAAGGTCACATGTTATTATTGTCCTTGACCTTTGACACTGATCCAAATTTACATGGGTGACAGAAAGGGAAAGCACTCTCAAATGCAGGCTGCACAAGAAATCGTAATCAAGGGATGGAATGTCGCAAATCTTCGAGACGAAATCTACATGCAGATCTGTAAACAGACAACTGAAAATAGGAAAGAGTAAGTCTTCTTGATTTAGTTTTCAGTCATGTTTATTTGCCTGTCAAAAAATCGTGAGCATCTTAAAAACCAATTTTTCAAGCTATCAAAATTCACTTATACTGGGAAAACTATTTGATATTTCCAATTATAATTTTAAAAATGTTAAGAAAGTTAAGTTTAATATAAACACTGGTGTAATACAGAAATAGCACAGAAAAATTCCCCGTTAGATAAAAGTCTGCAGATGTGACATCATCAGTGAGGTCAAAATGCACTTCCTTGATATTATAAAAAAATTATAGCACATATATAGAATGAATTCGTAAGTAATAACGGAAGTTGATGACAATCTACGTGCCTGCCAAGTCAAGATGTCCATCAAGCAAATCTTATTACTCAAGTCAAGTACTGTTTTCTGACCCAATTGAGATAAAATACTTTGCCTAACAGTCATTGTTTGCATTCTTTCAATGGAAATGCAGTGTGTCATAAAACAAGTGAATAGACAATGAATACACAGCAAAACCTTGTTATACTGCCGCCTTTTCTTCAGCAAGCTTTTGACTTTATAGAGAGGTTTGGCAATGTAAAGATGTCAATATAAAAACTAAAAAAGTGGATGTTGTACCAATATTATATAATATTTTAATTTGTTTTTGTTTTGCAGAGAAAGTTTACAGAGAGGTTGGGAGCTGATGGCCATTTGTTTGAACTTCTTCCCGCCATCAGTGAAGTTTTACTCGTACCTAGAAGGGTATATTCAGCGACATGCTGAAGACATCATCGATCTGCCTAACGTATGTGCGGTACGCCTCACTGTTATTATTTTTATTCGCTTTCATCGCTTTGTTTGCTACCGTCATGCCACAAAATAATGTCATCTAACTCGTCAACACCTTGCTGGTTCAACGCTTGGATTAGGTGATGTCACCAGTAACTCACAGCAAGGTCATCTCGTTGCTTAACTCACAGCTGTGATAAGCTCAAGAGTCTTGTCAAATTTAGGTTCATTACACATGTCCAATCACAGCAAGGGTCACCTTCTGGGTCGACTGGCAGTAGGGGTTAGCTCAAAGGTCTACTCACAAAGTAAAATCATAGCCAGTGTTTCATTAGAGGTCAAGTCAGGTCAAGGTTCTTCTCACATATACAATCACAGCAATTGTCATCTCTTGGGTCAACTTAAATCAGAGGTAACCTCAAAATTTCATTTCACAGTGAGGAAATCTCAAAGGTCCACTTATGGCAAAGGTAATCTCAAAGGTCAATTCACATAGAAAATCTCAAAGGTCAACTCACAGAGGGGAAATCTCGAAGGTCAACTCATAGAGGGGAAATCTCAAAGGTTATTTCACAGCAAAGGTAATCTCAAAGGTCAACTCATGGCAGAAGAAATCTCAAAGGTCAATTCACAGTTGGGAAATCTAAAAGGTCAAATCATGATAGAGATAATCTTAAAGGTCAAATCACAATGGGGAAATCTCAAAGGTCAACTGATAGCAGAGGTAATCTCAAAGGTCTATTCACAGTACAGAAATCTTAAAGGTCAACTCATGGTAAAGGTTATCTCAAAGGTCAATTCAAATTGGGGAAATATCAAAGGTCAACTCATGGCAGAGGTAGTCTCAAAGGTCAACTCACAGTGGGGTAATCTCAAAGGTAAATTTACAGTAGGGAAATCTCAGGGTCAACTCACAGTGGGGTTTGATGTCAGTAATGGCCACCTCACAGGGCCAGTCTCCTTTCACTGGTGAACTGATCACTAAGGGCACTAAGAATTTCTCAGAAATTGTTAAGTATCCAAATTTTATGTGAGAGGATTTTTTCTTTTTTTTTTTTGAAAACCATTATAGAGAAAAAAGTCAAACATTTTCCTTATTAGGAATGCTTAAAAGCTGGTTGTTGTTATTGAGATTAATTGTTTTAACACATCCCAACTTCTGCTACAAGTACACACTGTTGAAAGCTTCTGCTAAAATGTTCTGTAAGCTTTTGGGAGCAGAACTTTTTTGTGTGTGTGCGTGCTCAAGTGCTTTCTGGGCAGTTTCCATGTGTATGCTTGCTCATACATTTACCACAAAAGGAATAGGACTCATCCATAAGTACAATGTATACCCCACTACCCCAAGAATGACTTACAAGAGAGGGGGATTACCCCCCACCCCCACACCCACACCCACACCCACACACCCCTCCCACCCCCACCCCCAAAATGACTTAAGAGGGAGGGGAGGGTGGTATTGGGAATCAGCTTGTCTGATATTTGTCACTACTGCTTCTTCTTGGTCGCTATACTGATATAAATGAAATGTTTTACATATGATCAATTCATTTTGAAGTTCATTACTTGTGCACCCTTCTTCCATCCTTTTGTTTTGACAAGTTTTGGCAGAGTTATTGCCCTTTATTGTACTTTGTCATTTTGACTAGCTGTCTACATTACCCTTAAAACTCATTTCAATAAAAATATCAATTCAACATCAATTGATCTATACATCAGTTAGATAAACCTTGAATCTCTCTCCGGTCTTCTGCTCATTTCCCCCAACAATGTCTGAATAAGATAGTTGCTATCTGACTTTTTTGTTATGGGGAGGTGTTACTAGTGGCTTATAGTTCTAGTTGTCTTGAAGATCTCCTGTACTTGGTTTTTGTCCTGAATAGAGATATTATCATAAATGTTCTAGTCTGCCCAGCTGTATAACTATCTCATGTTTCCCATTTTGCCTAGGTAAACGATTTTTCAGTAATTCTTGTTTAAACATGTGCCAAAATTGGATACTGATCATTTAATGGGAATACTCCATCTCATCTATGGCACTTTTTCTCGCTGCTGGTCAATGTGTCGAAGTCAAGATTTCATGAATTCATTTACGTACCTACACCAGAGTCTATAACTGGATCCATGCATGAGTAAACACAACATGCCTGAACGAACACAACATCTTCCTCTGGACAATCCGAATCCCTAAACATTTATACCTTTCCTTTTTCATTAGAAAACCCAATCCATGTCAAAACTGGACATTTTCCAAGGGTACTCATGGATCCATTTCAAACAGGTAGGTTGTGGTGTCGTGCATGTGGACTTGAAGGTCTTATTAACCATCTGACATGCATGGTAACCATTGGAAACGGTTTGGGTATATGGTAGGATTATTTGAGATGCCAGATGGCGTATACATGCATGGGGCACTTATATTTACATGTTGCTGTTCAGGAAAGGTCATTATCTGTCGTTCATCATCACATAATCCTTCACGTCACACTCACCGCCTGCATGCTGTTGTCATGGAGTTTTTTTGTTTTTTTTTGGGAATCAATGGTGATAACTATGTTTATTTAAAGGGGAATAATATTGTCTTATGATGAGATATATAGGGAATATTTATGATGTACTGAAATTTCCACATTTCCTTTCCATCTGCAACCATCCTATTGTAATTGTAAAAAATCTACATTTGCTTCAACCAATATTGTACCCTTTCCTTTTAATCTTTTCTTCACAGTTACAGAGTTAAAAGAGTTTTGAAGGTGTTGACACTCTGTGTAAATAAACACTGAAAGACTAAAACAATTTTTTTATTTTTTTTTAATCTTTCAATACATATAATATACACATGAAATTTTGAAAAAATCAACTGTGGTTATGGAGAGTAAGCATGAAAATCCATCCATCATTCCAAGTCTTCCATGTCTCCTTGGGAGCTATCTCTCCTGTCATGACCCAAAACTATTCCCCAACCTACGTCTAAACCTGTCTTTAGGATAGCTATTATACACCATAAGTACTACTCCTTTAGCATGGCCATGGCTACTAATGCAGGCAGCTGATATATTGTTGTTGAAATCCGTATAAAAATTAACAATACTGGACTCCATATTGGATGACAGATCCTGACTGTAGCTTATAGAAAATTTTCCCCAATGCTGTATTGATGAATATAACTTCTGAAACCATGATATTCTTATCTCATTTGCTGAAAGAGATGTATATAGCTACCATTATATTCATTTCAATATTTTATTGAAATCTTTCTCTTTTTTTGAACAGACAGACACAAAACTAAGTAAAATGGGTATTTTGGGATGGGTCAAAATTTCACTAACCTCTATTAAATACAAGGTGTTTAACAGATGTTTCATTGAGAGGTTTCAAGTGATTCATGATAGTTTCTAATGTCACATGACATTAGGGTGATAGTTTAAATGTTACCTGATAACATTAGGGTGATTGTTTTAAATGTTACCAGATAACATAAGGGTGATAATTTTAAATGTCATGTGATGACATTATGGTGATAGTTTCAAATGTTACCTGGTGACATTTAGGTGATAGTTTCAAATGTTACCTGATAACATTAGGGTGATAGTTTAAATGTTACCTGATAAAATTAGGGTGATAGTTTCAATTATTATACCTTCTGTTAAAATCTCGTAATCTGATTAGTTGAGAAAGATGTAAACATTTTGAATGTTACTTGCTCGTTTTACAAAGATAAAGAAGACAGGGTGACATTCCAAAAAATATCACATGCGCCAAACGTATGCGTGCACAGTTTGTCCCAGTGCCTGGGTGTTATTCCAAAAATTGTTACATGCGCCAAACGTATGCGTGCACGGTTCGTCCCAGTGCCAGGGTGTTATCAAATCACATTCATGGTTGGTTCATTCGACAACTGTTGAGATGAAGTCTTGGTTTATGTCAAATCAACACAAGGACCTTTAAAAATGGTGAAGTGGTGAAACACCTAAACATGACACTCGGTATAATAAAATAAAAATCACATTCATGAGAGGGCGATATTGCATATTTTCACCCCTCGGAAAGCATTGTTGACCTCGGCTTCGCCTCGGTTAACAATGCTTCCTTGGGGTGAAAATATGCAATATCGCCCTCTCATGAATGTGATATTTATATAATGTTACCTGAAAACATTAGGGTGATAGTTTAAATGTTACCTGATAACATTAGGGTTATAGTTTTAAATGTTACCAGATAACATTAGGGTGATAATTTTAAATGTCATGTGATGACATTATGGTGATAGTTTCAAATGTTACCTGATGACATTTAGGTGATAGTTTCAAATGTTATCTGATAACATTAGGGTGATAGTTTAAATGTTACCTGATAACATTAGGGGGATAGTTTTAAATGTCATTTGATGACATTATGGTGATAGTTTCAAATGTTAGCTGATGACATTAAGGTGATACTTTCAAATGTTACCTAATGACATTAAGGTGATACTTTCAAATGTTACCTGATGACATTAGGGGGATTGTTTCAAATGTTACCTGATGATGTAAGGGTGATAATTTTAAATGGGACCTGATGAAATTAGGGTGATAATTTTAAATGGGACCTGATGAAATTAGGGTGATAGTTTCAAATGTTACCTGATGAAATCAGGGTTATTGTTACAAATGTCACCAGATGTCAAGGTTATACCCATGTCTTTACAGGTTCCCATCAGCCACTTTGCAGCACAATGTCAGCGACGACTGGACAAGACAATGCAGTCAGGACCAAAGAAGGGCCAGAGGAAACCAACACTGGAAGAAATTGAACAGGCTAAGGTGAGTGCAATGATACAAGCAAATGTGGGCTTTACTGCCATTGAGAAATGTTATCACAGGTAAGAGCAGAAACTGATTGTAAAAATAAAGCTCTGCAAAGAATGATACATAGATGTTCTCCAATGGTTATCAGTTTGTCTAACTTAATTTTCAGATTGTATAAAAACATGAAATGTTACCAATTTTTTTTCCCACAATTTTAAAATTTACCTATGGCAGTGAGATGGCCTGATAACCAGCAATCTCAAATTCGGGAACCTTTTTCCTCCCATATCATTCATATTATATCTAGAAAACCACATCTTTCACTTGCAAATGCAAGATCCCTATTTCTGACCTGTAAAGTAAATGCCATGATAATGACGTCACACTGGGAGATGCGGTCACAAAGCATTGTTATGTGACATTGTGATTTAAAAATTTACCAGGTGAAAAAGTGAAAAGTGTTACCCACTAGTGGTTAACCAAAACATGTTTACCAACTCCTAGCAGGTTTATCTAATGAGTTGGGAGAGAAGAAATCTATAGTGGTTGTGGGAGGACGGCATATCTCATATAACGTAGTTATTGTTTATACATACTCTTTGTTGAAAATATTTGTTTTGTATATAAATTATGTTATAAATACATAAAAAAAAAATGTTATTTATACATATAACAAAATTATGTTATAAATACATATAACGAAATGATGTTATTAATACATATAACAAAATTAGGTTATAAATACATATAACAAAATTACGATTTCCTTGAGCCTCCTTATTCGTGTATACACTTAAACGATTTCATTCTGTGAAAGAGATTGTTAATCCTTTTAATTTTACACAGAAATCCGTGTTCTGCCCTTCCATGTTCGGAAGCACGCTTGAGGATGTTATGTTGCTCCAGAGTGAGCGATTCCCTGAGAGACGGATACCCTGGATACAGGTGGCACTGTCAGAGGAGGTGCTTAGACTCAATGGTGCTGAAACAGAGGGTATTTTTAGGTTGGTATCAATAACACCTTTTTGTTTTTCATAAAAACTGAACTTGTTTTTAGATTTCTGTGTCATACTTTAGGTCATAAAACTTTTGAATTTGCACACATAGATTTAACACTGATAAATTCTATGAACTTTTATGTGACCTATGACCTGATTTTGACCCTTGTGTTACAGAGTGCCAGGTGATATAGATGAGGTGAATTCCCTGAAGATCAAGTGTGACCAGTGGATGTTGCCCACCGACTGTATAGACCCTCACATCCCAGCATCCCTCCTCAAACTCTGGTACCGCGAGCTCCACGAACCCCTTATACCCCAGCACTTCTATGAGGAGTGTATCGAAAATTACTCCAATGGAGAGGCCGCAATCCAGGTCGTAAACAAACTTCCCGACATCAACAGGCTGGTCCTCGCCTATCTCATTCGCTTCCTACAGGTAAATTGAGTACATTTCCAAAAGAATTGGTTAACCCTTTCACCACTGTAGACCATAATGGACTCATCTAGATCAATGCATGGTAGAGTTTACTAAATCTAAATAGGGGTGAAAGGGTTAAATGTGACTGATCAGTTGTTGGTCTAACATAACTAAGTTTCATGTTTTGTTCTCCCAATATCAGCCAAGTTAAAGTTTATATATCTCAAGAGTCTTCTGAATGTGGGCCATGCCTAAGTTGGATACCTCTTAATGTCTCCTAAGTGTTGTATTTTTTATCAACAATAGAAAATTGCTTGAATAAGAACAAATATTGTTAAAAATAGAAAAATCACCCTTAAACTTTCAATATTATCACTTAAACGATTCAAAAATTGAAGTTAAGGTGTCTGACCATCCATGATCACTAACCACCCACCACTGGGTCATGGGTTTGAGGCCTACGTGGGGCAGTCCAGTTACTGCCTGCAGTTCAGTGATTGTCCATCACCACCAAAAACCTGGCACGTCCTTCAATGACCAAAGTTGTTAAAAGGACATATAGTAGAAACAAACCTAACCAAATCGAAAAATTCAGTTGTCTGCGTCGTATATCACATGATATTTTAAATAATATTTTGAATTTATTTTGTATTTATATTTACGTGTCCTATTAGTGCCTTATGTATTGTTTAAATATTCTTCCTTTATTGTAGGTGTTCGCTGCAGAAGAAAACTCCAAGACAACAAAAATGGACGTGAACAATTTAGCTATGGTGATGGCCCCTAACTGTCTTCGCTGTGAAAGTCTCGAGCCACACATAATATTCGAAAACACACGCAAGGAAATGGGATTTATTCGGACCTTAATTCAGAACTTAGATACAAGCTTCATGGAGGGTATCGTATGATCAACTGTTGGGCTTAGGAATGTGTGGCATCGATTTATGAATTTTTCTGAACGTAAACGAATTCTGGATCCTTGTGTGGGAAAACTAAGAAATGATCTTCACCTGTATGTGTTGTTATACAGTGAACAAATGTGGAATATTATCTGTATATTCTGTGCGCTAGTGTTTCGGATTGTGTCAGAGTCAACATGATTGGTATTATGTATTTCTTAAAAATACTTCTAAGTGGAAAAGTAACTTGGGGTGTACGAGCAAAGCCTTGTTTCTGAAGTGGCTGAAGTGGACAGACATTGGGAAGCGTAAAACAGATCAAACTGAAGAAGGACTATGTTTCATTCAGAATTGGTATTGAAGTTATGCAATAGTTATTTGACATGGAATTGTAAGCCAATAGGCACTTTGAGACCATTGTGTAAACATTTTTTGTCATCTATTTACTAGAATCCAACTGCTGCAGCCGAAGGAAAGCAAGGACACAATTTTACAAAATATCTACAAAATCCATTATAAGATGTTAATATTTGTTCTGAACCTTACACCCAGAACATTAGGTGGGGATAAGGAATTTATAAAAAAAAACCACTTTGGACTCCATGTCTGTTGAAAGTTTTTCCGGTGTAAAAATAGTATTCATGAAAATCAATATTTGTCATATTTATGTAAATTATAATTTATAAAAAAATATATACATAATGCTCCTGAAATACTTACACGATACCTGATGGTCACTTTTATGAAGAAGCCTGCTTCATCATTTTGAAAATTCTGTCTACAAAAAATGACGAGGTTTCAGTACTTATATAGTGAGTGATAGCGTTGCTCTGTTATCAGTTACAGTCAGAAATTATGTAATGTACAATGATGTAAATTACAGGTACCGCAGATGACTTAATATAACCCTGGGCGCTTGGCAATTTGGGAAAATTTGATTGCAGAACCTTAGAACTGTCTAAAACAATGGGCCATTTATTGACACAATTTCTCACATAAATTTGTAAGTTGTGTTGAAGAGATGGAATGATCGGCCAAAAAAATGGGTAGGGGGCGTTTATCAGGAACAGGACATGTATTTTATTGACTATGGTAAGTGGGTTTACTACAAGTATGAAATCCAGTCTAATTGTAGTTTATAGATAGGGCAAAATATCCAGAGCATGTGACCCAGCCTCAGATTGTAGTTTAGATACGAGTGGTTGCACAACGGGCTAAAGGATATGTATGAGTGCTCATGCGTGACGTTTGATGCCCATATCAGTTTGTGTAGCCTTGCAAGTGTTCAGCTAAAATAATGTACCAACATGTTTTGATAGTGTCAAATTTTGTTTAAACAAAATGCCTTCAGTATGTTGATGTTTAAAATTCAGAATGAAAGACACGAGGAAGAATGAATGTTACAACCGTGATAGTTTGTACATCATATGATCTTTATAAAATGAACTCCACCTGAAACGGCAGACCTGTGACACAAGAATCAGTTTCCATTCACAATTGTCCTTCCATTCAATGCATTGCCAATCTTTATAACCACGGATAATTATTTGTGAACCGCTTTGAGACGACCTACAAACTAGGTTGTGATAAAGCGGTATATATGAACCTCGAATTATTATTATTATTATCCAGATAATATCCTTCATATTCAATGGTTTGGAAATTTCAAAAATTGCTATGGACAAACAAACCAATTTGCAGTAGATGTTTCATGCTTAAATATTTGTAATGACTGATTTGTTTTATTTTTTGTCAATCATCCCTTTTTTTTTACGTTCTGTATTGCTTTGGTATGTGATACAGTTTTCAGCGTATATGTCCCACGTTTGTAGAATACAAACTGATTGTCTTGCGACTCAAGTCTGCCAATATTATCCATGTCTATATTGTACATAGTTCCAGTGACCTATATAGTGTATATATATACTGTACAGTTCGTACATTTTATCCGCTAGTAATTTATTGTCCAGTGTATATTCATAATGTATCATACGAAAAGTTATCATTTACAATGTATATTATAAACTTGCTTCCTTATAAACTAATGTTAATAACCTGTGTATGTCGTCTATAATTGTGTGTGTATGTACGTCCGTATATGTAATACAATTTATCGGGTCATTCATGTATCGTTAATTAGGAACAAATTATCACTTCATCTCAATATGGATGTGATTTGAATTTTAAGTAAATAAAATAAAAAGGTTTTATTATTAGTTATTATTAAATATACGAGTAGTTATCATTTGTGGTAGTCTATATATATATATACATATTGATGGTTTCCTCATTAACCCTCTCTCTATTGAGGATGTTCTGAAAGAACAAGATATTTCAATACATATATAGGCATTCTGTGACCAGGTCTTGGGATAAGCTGAGTGTAGTTTTATCTTCAATAAATATTATTTTAAATCTGTAAATTCTTCTCTTATTAATGTATTATCGTTGTTAATCCAACAGATTTTAAGACAGTGACCCTTTTGATCAAATTTGGTTCTGTCCAAGGGGCCATATTATAACATTAACCCCTGAACACACATTTGAACTCTTCCGATTCAAAGGTTGGAATAGTTCATTATGACATTTCAGGGGTGAATGAGTTATACTACACAACAAGCAAGTTTCATTTTCATTGTAGAATTCGTGGACATCTTATGAATTTGAAGGTCATTTGTGAGCCAAATATTTTCAACCTTATAAAACTTAAAGTGAATAAAAATCAAAGACCAACATGAACTTCAAAGAAAGGGCGCTTATAATGTTCTTGAAACTTATACCCTTCTGCTTTAATATAGCAATAAAATATGTTAAAACTTATATAACTTCAACTTTTTATATCCATTCATAAAACACATTCATTGCTTGAAAATTATTATTTCAATGATGGAAAAAATAAGAAGATAGTCTGACATATATAGGATTAAGTTGAAGTCTTTTATACATTTATTTTTAAGGAAGATATATTTTAGGCAATAAGGTGTTTAAGGACAGTTTTCCAGAGCCTGTTTTTTGGAGATAGAAAATTCTAGGTGGAATTTCAATCAAAAATGAAAAAAAATGATGACTTGATGCCAAGATTTGTATCAAATATTACATCATCATTTTAAAGTATTAATATAAAGGTGATCTTTTTATGCAGGACATGTTGAACCCTTTTACCCCGATGTAACTTTAGTAGACTCTTCAATGCATCGATCTGGATGAGTCCACTTTGGTCTACAGTGGTGAAAGGGTTAAGGTTTGTCGGTGGAAACTTTATAGGAACAATGTATAGAAAAGGTAGGAAATTGCTAGTAGAAAGTTATTGTTATATTATTTACAGTAAATGTTATCCAGAAAATAGTTCAGAAGGAATCATACTTCACTGATACCAATTCATATTTATTCAAACAGAACAGAAAAGTGAGTGTTACACATTTGTAAGATATGGCATATCAGTTTAAACTTAAAATCTCACATGGTGTTTGTATATATTTTAGGAGTGTGCCAATCTGTGTCAAATGATGATACCTACATTATTATATATATTTAATCAGGAAATATGCTAGTGAAATATAATTTAATTGTGAAATTCCATAAAAATATGATCAAGGTAAGAGTTTGTTGAACAGCTACAGGACATATGAATGTGAGGTAATCGTTAAAAGTGGTTGTGCAATCTATTGCTGTCAATCCCGTCTTACCCACACAACAATAACGGCATGATTTATTTTGAAATAGTGGGTATGATGGGTTCCAGGCTGATCACTGGAAATACAATGTTACTACTCCAAAAAGAACCTTAATTTAAGTGTTAACAAAATTGAACATTTCAAACAACTTGCTGTTCATTGCAAAGTTATTACCAACAAATATTTGTGCCAACTTTAGTATTACTTATCGGTCGGTTTTGTTTTTGCCCAAAACAGATTTTGGAATTTAATAAATAGATAGTATATATAGTATTGCACAAAATTCAATGATGTGAGTGAACTTTGGTGGGACGTACCAGTAGTTAAAATGGCACTGTTTGCCTATTTTCACAGATTCATCAGTATAAGTTCAAATAAGGCTTTTACTATTGCAGGTTTCTTTGACAAAAGTAATATGTATTGAAACGTGTTAACTGTTGAGGTTTGAGGAGTAGTGACAATGTTGGATTCATCAGGTTCATGATTGCAGTGATTACATGGTTGAATTTCTTTTTAATTCAATTTTTTTAATATATTTGTACAACAAGTGTAATGGTTGAATGATAGATTTTAAAGATTATCAATTGCTTTTTTAAAAACAATTTTATCCATTAAATTTTTAAATTGTCTAAAACGTCATGTAAATGCTTTTGATGTAGATAATGCATAAGTTGTGTGTTACCGATAGATATACACAAACCCCTGTGTAAAGATATACAGGTATATATTAGCATGCCCCTGTGGATATATCCTAATATACACAAGCCCTAGTGTGAATATGCAGATATACTGATTTATATACACAAGCCCCTGTGTATATATACACTAACTGCTGTGTATAAAGTAATATATACACTAACCCCTGTGTATTTAAATCAGTAACTATACAATAGCCCCTGTGTATATACAGGTTTATATTAACTAACCCCTGTGTATTTTTCAGTATATTTACTCAAGCCCCTGTGTATATGTACCTATAGATATACACTAGCCGCTGTGTAGAAAGTTATATATACACTAACCCCTGTGCATATAAACAAGTTACTATATACCAGCCCCTGTGTATATACTGGTTTATATTCACTAACCCCTGTGTATTTTTAGGTGTATATACACAAGCCCCTGTGTGTATTTTCAGGTATATTATACAAGCCCCTGTGTATATAAATCGGTAGCTAAACACTAGCCCCTGTGTATAGACTAACAGGATATCTAAGTGTGTTGACGTGTACAGATATATATATATATATGTATGTGAATCGTTATTTCTTGTGGATGTAAAACAGTCCTTTGTGTTATAGATGTTTTGATATATTTATCTTGTACAAAAATAACCCCATAACACTTTCTGACATTGTAAACAAATCTTCGCTGCGATTAGTGTGAAAAGAGTGATATCAGCTTATTGCATGAATTGAATGTGCGAGCGAGAGAAATGAAAAAGAAATAAACATCATGTCTCACTCATACTTGCTCCATTGAATGGACAGTGCCATCAATTATACCATTGTAACTGTGTTACTAGCTACAAATCACCGACAGACAGAGAACATTATCGACTGTCATGGTTTATTTTGTGTAAATAATTTTGAAAGTGTGTTAACTGCTTCGCGATCAATCAACCAGAATTAGTCGTGACGTTTTCGTCTTAAACAGCTGTTTTATTTTCATTGTAATTGTAAAATTATTTCATCATCGATCAAATGATAAATAGTATTAAATTAAGACGGACTTAAAGAAATAGGTTTGGAATAGACCATGTTGGGAAGATATTTAAAATAATGTGTTACCTTTTAATACAGAAATTACTGTGCTTACATCCATATATACTATATTGCATTACAATACGTACATTCTGCATCAGAGCGACACATACTCATACAATAAATGAACTTAATTAAACATGAAGAAAAGTACTATAGGACAATTCCTGTAAAAAATGAATTACTGTTGCCAAGAAACCAAGTTGAAAGGTGTGAGTGGATCGTATGACCTAATGCTTCAGTCCTGTGGTGGTAAATGTTGTGTGCATTTTATCAAACACAATTCATTGTCCATTGAAAAAAGTGAAATCTTCTTTTTTTTTTTGAAAAGTCAGAAAAGTAAAAATTAAATGGCTAACTATTGACAACCCTAGTAAAAAAAGTAAAAAAATTCTCCTTTTAACTGTGTTCTCACATACGTATTTGAGAATCTGAATCTTAGTTATAAAAATATGTAATAAAACAAAATTTGATATGGACAGAATCTGAAACTATGTTAAAAAACAAAATCTGATAATGACAGCAATCAGATTTTCATTCTTGCGATGATATTTTGGAACATACCTAATGCTGTATCATTTTGTTGACAAACCTGGTGAACAGTATATTTAAATTTCAAATAAAAAAAAAAAGTTTTAACAGAAGATGTAGATTGCTGTATGATTTTAATATGCAAGATAACAATATAATCATTTTCAAAGATTGTGGAAATTTTTATTACACATGAATTTTTTGTTGTCAAACTATTCTTTCATGCTATACAAAAGGTGCTGCCTGAATTATGGTAATCATCATTTTTCCAACTGTGTCATCGATAATGTTGGATCAGTCTAATCATGGTCAGTTATTTGCTTGAATTATAAATGGAATCATGGTCAGTTACATGTTTGTTTAATTTCCTTGTTTCTTTGTAATCAGTTCAATATTGTGGGAATTACTGCAGTTCTGGGTTATCATGACAGAACATCAAATTCTTGTGTTCACACTCATAATATTTGATTAACATTGAACTGCTCTTAACACATTGCATGTATGATGCAAAGAAGTAAAATTGGTCTTAGCAAGTTAAAGAAATAGAAAACGAACAAGGAAAGATATCATGTTTTTACCCTTGGATGTGACAAGATTTTACATCCATTCCAGACTCAATAATCAGTTAAAATTTTTGCCAAATGTCTGGTTTACATCTTATCAAAGCATAACTAACATTTTGTCGACAACTTACTGCAACCACTTGCATATAGAGGTCATAAAAGGGTAAAAAAATGGCCAAGGCATATTCTAGGTGTCTGTTTGACAAAAAGACACTTTGCATTATTTATGTCATGTCTGTCTTACTTAATGGCAGTATAATTACAAACCATTTTATTTTACAATTATATTCTCACAAGTTCAGTTACAGAATATTTTTAGTGGCTTATTCAATCATCAAAGTTCTGATGCCAAATTTCTTTAGTGGCTAATTTGATCATCAAAGTTCAGATGCAGAATATTTTTTCGTTGTTAATTTATATTATAGAAATACTGTAATCCAGTCTATGTAGAATGCTCAAAGTTTTTTTTGCAACAAATTATTAAAAGTTACCAGTACACATTATGTACAACACAAATGAATGCAGTAAAAAAAAACAGCTTCATGGCAGAAAAAGGATCTTAAATTTCAAAATTACACACAATTTGTAAGACATTGATTTTATATCAGATTTGATCAAATGTCACTACAAATATAGAGTTATCTGCCCTTGTGAGATTATGAATTGATTTTTTTTAATCGTTCATTAATTACTATTATACAAATATATAATTGATTATTGTAAGCAGGATGGGTATTGGACCGTAGAAATGTGTGTGAACAGATGGCCTTGTATTAACACGCTGTGGTGTGTATATACACAGTGTGTAGCCAGGTATAAGTCTATACACTCGGTGTTATCTGTGTGTGTGCGTGTGTACAGAATCTGTAAGATGTTACAAAGCAAGCTGGATAAAGCTGTATTTAAAGACCTGATTATTGAAGCCTATGATATTATTAAAAGTTCATTACCTGAAGAATTTACCTGTTTTGTGTTTTTTGTTTCGTTTCTATTAAATGTTTTCCAACAACCCAGAATATCATGGAGTGGCGCTGATTGGTTTGACATAGTGTACATAGCTACCAGGTAGCTTCAAAAACATGGGGTACATTCGTGTATCCGGTTGAAACGGTTGCACAGATCTGGACCAAGGCTGACCTCAGGAAAATTTGGCCGTTGACCGAAAATAAAATGCTGACTATAGCCAGTTTGCGTTATTTCTTTCTAAAACAAGGTCAATCCACTGTGCATTTTTAGCTCTGCGTATAGAACGGTCAAAGTGCGTTCGTTTATCGTGGAAAATTTCTGCACCACACGTACTGTTTCAACCGTAATACGCAAATGTAGCCTAGATTAACTAGAACACTGCCATGTCAGCAAGGGTCCCGCTAGTTGCCTGACCATAACCCCATGGCCAATTTTCAGTAACAGTGACCTTGACCTTGAAAACTTTTTAATACCCTATTACACATACCCTATTACACATCTGCATATCGAAGTGGTATCATCTTGTCAAATTTCAAAAGGATTAGTCCTTTTTGCACATCTTCATATCACAATGTGTCACATCATCAAATTTTAGAAAGATCTCCGATAACGAAAGTGTTGACAGACATACACTAAAACTCACTAAAGACTGTTGAGCACTGTACAAGTCAAATTTACTAAAGATCTCGACTACAAATGTAATTATTTTCATGTTCAGGATGGCAGTAAGTCTTTATCACGGTGGCAGATGATCTCCTTTCTGTTTCCAAGTGAAATTATTTTAAGAAATTGTGTGGCAAAGTCGGCTTTAGTCCACAACATGAAGACCTGTAGTTGCAGATTCACCACAATTGACCCCTGTAACGTAACTTTAGGAAATCAAAGTACACAGCACTGCTCGACTTGTCCTGCACTAACAAAACCGCAAGACCCATTGTCTGAACTTGTACATGTAACGGAAACGGAAAATAAAAACAAAAAAATGTCTGTTTTGTAACAAAATTTATTTACTCCTTGCTGGGTGGGCAGCACAGAGACAGAATAAGTACATAATTATACTGCAAATTGCAGATTGCAACAAACTGCATATCTTATGTAAACAGTAAAATTGTGGAGTGGCACACGCCAAGGACCGACAACATAAGTACATCCTCGGGAAAGTGGACCACTGTACACAAACTGGCTTAAAACAAACATTTCTATAACAAGCCCTTCTTTAGGGTATACATAAATAGGAACTGTGACCTCACCATATAATGACCAATTGAGGCCCCATATGGGGAATCCTGGAAAACAGTCAATTGATGTCTAGAATAAAAGGGAAAATTCTGAACAAATTTTATGAAATTCATCACATACAGCATGCTGGCCAAAAAACGTAATTTGACTTTCAACAAAACATTCTGAAGACTTACTTTGGGGGGAAACAAATATTTTCATAAGCTGAACGCTAAAATATAGGACTGAATTCTTATTCCCCATAATGGACCTCATGACATCGCCACAGAACTCTAAACTATGTACAGTTTGTGTAACTCATGATTTCAGATATGTAAAACAAAGTAGAAAATTTCATATCTGGGCAGTTTTTACCATACATATCTATACAGTGACAGAATATCGTTTCAAGTGTTATATATTTTCTGAAGCATCAAAGGGCACTTTAGGTTATCATCAGAAAATAACAAATAACACTCGTAACAAACATATTTTTCTTCAAAATGATCTAAAAAAAACTTTCTACATGTTTGGTAACACTGTCATAATTAATTTCAATTAAAATCAAATACTTAGAATATCATTTTTACAAAACATTTTTTAGCTTAATCTGTAGTTTCTGACAATTGTTTTTACCATTTGAAATGTCTTTAAGGATGTCAGAGTCCCACTTTTCTGTGGTTTTTCGTATATACAGTGACCTCCCCTATTTTCGTTCTGGAGATAACTGTAGCACAGTTAGGTCAGGACACGTTCATTGACCAGGTAGCTCAGTCGGTTAGGGTGATAGGAAAACAAGTTGAACGCCAGGGTTCGAATCCTGGTCAAACAATTTGAAAGCCAAGGTTTGAATCCTAGTCTAACAATTAGAAGGCTAGGGTTTGAATCCTGGTCTAACAATTTGAAGGCCAGAATTTGAATCCTGGTCTAACAATTTGAAGGCCATGGTTTGCATCCTAGTCTAACAATTTGAAGGCCAGGGTTTGAATCCCAGTCTAACAATTTGAAGGCTAGGGTTTGAATCCTGGTCTAACAATTTGGAGGCTAGGGTTTGAATCCTGGTCTAACAATTTGAAGGCCAGGGTTTGAATCCTAGTCTAACAATTTGAAGGCTAGGGTTTGAATCCTAGTCTAACAATTTGAAGGCTAGGGCTAGCCCCACAGAGTCCTTCCATTCTGAAAGCTCTTTTCAGAAATGATCTATCAAAGCTATTGTCACATCAGAAGAAAAAAACAGTTTCCAAGGCATAGTTTGTTTTTGATAGTGGTATAGGAATCCTTAATTAAGTAGATGATCATTCTCTTATTAAAATTATATACCCCTGAAATTTCATAATGAACTATTCCAACCTTTGAATTGGAGTTCACATGTGTCTTCAGGGGTGAATGAGTTATGTGTATCGGTAGGTTTTCGAGCTTATATGTCTACATAATCTTAAATCTGTTGAAAATAGTTTCTTAATCTTAACCATAATTAAACATACAAGGTTAACACAGATGATAGGTAATTGGTTCATGGTCAAATTAAAAAATAAGATCATTTGTTTTCTGTACAAATTTACATATTTACACTGTGTAAAGGAAAATCTAGTACTATTTTAACAAGGTTCACAATCTGATCCATCCTTTCATTAGCAAAAGGCTATGTTTAGTTACATTCTTAAAATGAATGCACATCAGATACAAAAACGCTTACCACAGTGTCGTAAGTGGCTTATCTCTCGCTAACCAAGTTTACGAATTGGGTAAAAGGCAAATTGGGACTAAAATCCTTGGCTAGGGAGGATCATAAATTGAAGATTGGTCCTGGTTCCACAAAAAAATCTTAGAGAGAAATTGACAAAATATAACTCACTTAATCCTAACCCTGATGACACTTTTGAACTCTTCCATATGAATTGTTGGAATAGTCCATTATGAAATTACAGGGAAGAACATGTTTAATTGGCATACTCTGAATATTCACTATGACTGTGTGAATCTTTCAGCCCCTTTCCTCTTTAACTAATAACTACTAAGATTTAAGCATAGTTCTTAAAGAGATTTGGGGGGGGGGGGGGGGGAATTATTGAGATACTTTTTGAAATTTGATTCACTTGCTTGAATTAGATGCTAGATTGCAAACATTTTTTATCACAATAACACACAATTTACATACAAATATGTAACATTTCAAAATGGAATTCACACACTCAAATACTTTTCCACAAATTCTTAGTCTCCTTGTTGTAATTTCAAGTGCTTTGAAGAAAAAAGAAAATTGTGAAACATGCCCTGGAAAATTATCTCTATAATGGCATGAATTGGATCACATCCATTATGTTTTGGTGTATTGAATCAAAAGCTATAATATGGATCAGATTTCTACACTCACAAATATGGATAGGCCACATGATACAAGAATGACACAGGCTATTTCAACAATGTTTGCAAAATACAGATTGAACATTTTGGTCTCTAAAGCCAGTCGTTTCTTATTTAGTAGATCAACGTTTGAGAAATATTCAAACCAATAAAAAGCTTATTAACAATACATCCACTTGATATGAAATGACTGCATACTTGTCTACCTTACTCATTTCACCTTTAAACCCGGTCTGTAAAAGAAAGTTATTGTTTTATTAAGGATGCAAATGTAGCTTGATCGAACGTTTGTTATGTTACCAAGACAGTTTGGTGTTACGATACTTGTATATTAATGGTATTATTCTGATAGTTTCCTTTTTTCTATAACATTGTTTTATATATAAATGATGTGGTAATCTGTCACTACTTCCAAGGGATTGATGTAATACAGGTTTTCTATACACCTTATATGCTACGTATATGACAGTTTATGTTTGTCTTTTACTTGCATATTCTTGGTGATGTCATGCAGGAAGTGGATATGCTGTTGGGTTTGGGTTTAGAATGAGATTATGTGTTGAAGGGGAGTTGCACATTTACCTATCCAAACAAACGTTAAGTACTTTTTGTCATTTTAGATATGAATTACTTAAGGGGATATGCTACCTTAATAAAACAATCGCCTCCTTCTAAAAGAATTCCAGTCTAAAAAGCATATAAACTATCTATATTGGATAGTTATTTGACTTGGTCAAACTTGAAACATTTGAAACTTACAACAGAACACAGGCATTGATAACATCCAATAAATAATTCTGAAATATCCGTCATGCTATGTGAACAAATTTTAAGGGAGATAACTCCAACACAAATTACAAATGTATTTGTGTAAGGTAGCATAAACTAAAGGGGCACTGATCCATTTTTATCACACATATCTTTTATGTATTGTTACACCCAAAAAAGTAAGTTATATAAACAAGTCCCAAATTCTGTTCCTTAAGTTTGTATAGCATGTTTCTTAGTGTAGGTATCTTTCTGTAAGGTAGGATATCCATATGGTCAGGTCAGTAGCGCTCCGGGATTTTTTATTAAAAGAACTATTTTGGAAAAGTAGCTGTGTGTATTACTTCATTGTCAGCTACATAAAATTTCATTGTTTATTCAAAGAGAGAGGTCAAGATGAATTCAAACATCGCCCCAATATTCTGCAGCATTATCCATACACATACAATACCATTTCATTCTTGAAAGTGACTTGAACCAATTTTACTTTCGTTCAGGCATAAAAAGAATCAAAAAAATTCCATACTTTCACACATATTAAACCAAGCTGCCTTTTAGGGATAACTAAAGTCAGTCCTACTTCTAGCCCATCAATATTCTGCTAACTGAGGTTTTGTGAACTGGTTTATTTACAGGACCACTGGGAGATGCCAACTTAATAGTAAAATAATATCATATAATCACAAATTTGCATCCAAAAGTTTTGACAAATCCTGTTTGCGAGATTTTCAAAATTTATTTTATGTCGGTAACTATCAGCTTATATCATTAAGTGTAGAATTGCCAGATTTAGTGTTGAATGATTATATATAATTGATTTGATTTGCAAGCAGTTTCACCTATTTTAATGCCCATCTTCCGTTATACATTTTGAAATGACAGACAGCCTCCCCTATTTGTAATAATGAAAATTATTGTTAACAGACTGATCAAAGTACTGATCAAAACTAGATTTCTGTTCAAACTACAAATCTCTAACAAATAAAACATAAACAAAACCTAATAAAGTTCTCAAAATTGCATGGTTTAATGTCTATTTCAATGAAATATAATCTTTCCTAATTTTTATCTACATTCTGTACAGACAGACAATTGATCACATTTCAAGTTGATATTGTCACTTTTATATAACATGCTATGATTCGTTCCACAAGAATATGACAATGAATAATGAAATTTTGTAAAAGGTCTTTATCTTCATGGTTCTGAATATCTGTGCTTTTACTAAAATGAGCAAATTCACAGGATAATTTTTGTTCACCAAGTAAAATTAATGTAAAACTTTATAATATGCTTTTATGTATTAAAGCATGGATTTTTGATAATTTTCCTGGAATTTTATTTTTGTGGAAAAAGGGTAACTGCAAGAACCACAAAATTTCGATCCACATGAAAATATAAACCTTAACATTTCTCCGTAAACGAAAAACAACATTAGTCATTGCCTAAACTCAATCACCCCTGAAATTTTGTAATGAACTATTCCAATCTTTGAATTGGAGGCGTTCAAATGTGTCTTCAGGGGTGAATGAGTTAATATATCCTTTTGTACCACAACACTTTGTAATACTCCTTCAAAATTGAAAACTTGTCAGTATATTACAGAGTTAAAATAAGAACAAAGTTATAAATAAAAGTGACATCCTCATTGACAACATGTGGAATTCTTCTGAACCTATGTACATGTAAAATGTCTCCATGGCAACTATCCCTTTATAAGGATTTCAGTATTAGGTTAAAACAGCACTGTTTCATGAAGTGGGGTGTAGCTCATTTACAGTAAAACATTACCTATACTAACAAACTCTCCCCCACCATGACATTTATAATATATACAAATATAATCATTTTAGATGTGTTTTACTATTTCATATTGTGCAAAAAATATAGAATCTAATAAAATAAACAACATCTTTAATAGAATCTATATTTTTTCAAAAACAAAAAAACTTTCAATATCCGATTTTATTTTTGCTATCATTGCTGTAGCTTGAAAATAGCAATGGACAAAGTTTTACCCGATTGTCTCCCTTACATCATACATGAGTTATAAAATGTATTCCACATTTTAAAATAAATAAACGACAGTAAAAATAATGGGAAGAAACAAAACAAGTAGATCACTATACATGTGGTTTTGGTTTCTTACAAAAACAAAATAATGCATTAAGAAAAGAGATCAATTTTGTCATTGTTTAATACAGTAAAACATCTTCACAGATCGCACAGTCGACCCTTACCTCAATCAGACAAAAGGGCAAAACAAATTTGAAATTGATTTTTACTTGACATTTAGAAAATATATATTGTTGTGGGTTTTTACACATTTGCATATGCTTTTTCTAAGTCATCAAGATATTATTCAGTTAACAGATACATATTCACATACAGATGTAGGCAGATATTTTCACACTCTAGAAACCAAATTTACAGAATATTTCTTAAATTAAGTTTTATCTTAGGAAAACTTCATTGAAGCTATGGAATTTTCTTTAATTCCAGTTATGTTTTCCTACAGCAAATCTTTAAGTACAGATATTTTCTTTAATGAAGGAATGATAGGATTGACAAATTGCATACAGACAGCAGAGACATTTTCACATCCAAAGTTGAAAAATTGATATACATCAGATGAAGGCAGATATTTTCACTCTTGTAGGTTGACAAATTGACACACAGATGAAGGCAGATATTTTCACTCCCGTAGGTTGACAAATTGACACAAATATGAACGCCGATTTTTACACCTGTAGGTTGACAGACACAGATGAACGCCGATAATTTCACTCTCGTAGGTTGACAAATTGACATATAGAGATGAAGGCAGATAGTTTCACACTCAAAAATATATTATGACATAATTCTCTCTAACAGATATTGCTGACCAGGTTTACACACTTAAGAGTAACAGCTCACGAGATCGCCAGTGCATCCCTGTTGCATATACATATACATATCACTTGCATTTCAATGTCTTAAATAGGACAAAGGTTAGAGGACGGACATATGTGTTACTTGTTGTCTTTAAGAGAAAAGGCAGGCACCAACAGAAGAATCAGAATTACTGAAGGATAAATTACTCTGTATTGGGGAACTAGTTTTAACTTTTTATTTTTGCAATTTATAATCATTTATAATTCAAATGGTAAATGATTATATTGGAATATTTATAATAAGATATGTTAATTCAGAGATGCTTGAAAAAATCATCAGAAAAGATTTGTCTGTATACATGGAATGAACATTTTAAACAAATAATTGTAAAACATGTCTACACCTAACTGAAGAAATGGAGTTGAAGGAGAAATCTAAACAAAGTCTGTGAAGCGGAAATTAATGATCACAGTGACCTACATTTGATATATTGGTGTAGGTCACTGTGACCTATATTTTCCGCTTCACTGACTTTGTTTAGACTTTGCCTTCAATTCCATTTCTCAAGTTGTAGCGACATTGAAGCTTGATGTCTGTTAGACTTGAAGTATTACAGTAATGGAGTCCAATACAAAGACATACAGACATGTGTACAAACAAACTGATGGAAAAGGCAAATATGCCCCCTGTACTTTGTGGCAAGGGACATAAAATTAAACTTGATTTACTGCCTATAGAGCCTCATTTGAAATAGATAGGTTGCAGTTGTGTATACACGTCCTCTCAAAGTCACCTTCACACCTAGCACAACAGTGTATTTGGAATGTTATATCTACAGAGTGTTTTAAAACAAATGCATTATTTACAAAAGTTCGCAAGCCATAAATGATCTGTACCCGTCTCGACAAGACGATAAAAACATTAACTCTTGTTTAACGGTAATAAAACATGAAACTTTCCAAGTTTTCATCGACAATTAAATAATAAAAAACATCAATATACAATCATGATATCTGTATCACATTCAGGCCCTTATACACATTTATATCTTATAGACTCTCCAACGTCGGTAACTTTCCATTCTCATAAATCTATAAATTGAATTTGTAGATCGTACACATACTAACAAAATATATTATATAACTCGTTCATTCTCAGAACCCATACATGCTTTAAACATGTACGCACATTTACACTGTGACATCCGCCCATTCAATAAACATCTAGACATGCATTACAGCATTCACCATTCGGTGAACATCTTGACACACAGGTCATTCAACAAATATCACTATCACAATCATTGCATTAAAGATACACATTGGGTCGTGCACACGTCCGTGTGCTGCACATGTTCACAACAGGAGTCAGGTGCACACACAGGCGTGCACACGCCGTGACAAGAAAAGCTGGGCCAGGGTTATACGTTGAATTTGTTGTTTTCAGTCCGTATTCGGTTTGATTTCCGTTTTGTGTAGCGGGAGTCTCTACAGTTTTGACAGATATAGGTATCTGGGATGTTGTTTTTGCGTATTTTTGCACACGACAGGTGTATCCACGTGTTACAGTCTGAGCACTCGATCATTGGGCGGCCTGCATATGGCTTCAAACAGAAACATGTAATCAACTCCCACGATTCATCATCTGAAAAGATAAATTTATACAAAATTTTAAAATCAAACACACAGCACTTATGTACCAATATTTCCTTATATCCTTCTGAATAAATTATCACATATTGATCATACAAATATCTCTCCTTTATGTGTAAGACTGCCAGACGGCCTTCATTGATTTTTTGTAAATACTGTACAAGGTAGGTGAATTAGCATAGGGTAAAGCGACATTACCGTGTACTGCCCTGATCCATGTGCCCGATAAAACCAAACAGCTTCCATAATATGGCTAGACTCACCTTGTACATATTACAAGACATAACAGGTCTTGTGGACAAACACTGGGCACATTTCATTCACTGAGCATTAACCCGTTCACATTTGAACCATACCAAAATCAAAGAGTGGGCAAGTCCAGTTAAAATTTGTAGGGGTGAATGAGTTAAAGGTAGTTAACAGGTCACTGCAGGCCTGTGCCAAATCAACTCTACCGTGACACAGTTTACAACACATGATCAGATATGGTGTCCAGTTTGAATGTATCCAATCTAATCTATAAATATAAAGACAGAAAAAGTGTCTGAATTCTAATAAATTTCAAGAAAATTGCTCACTGATCTTATAATAAGTCTTTTTGGATTTGTGGTAATATTAACTATAAATTAACCCTTTCACCCCCATAGACCATAATTAACTCAACCATATCAATGCATGGCCGAGTCTAATAAAGTTACATAGGGGTGAAAGGGTTAACTGATGAAAATCATAATACATTTGAAACAGTTCTATAAAATCTGAATAAAAACTTAATCGTTTCTCGACACTTGGAAGGATAACAATATTGGCCAAGGACAGTTATTGAATAATCACCTTGCATGCCACGAGCTTCTGGAAACTCTGTATCACTGTATCTGTAATGGCTGTCCGCATCGTCATCCATGTAATGAGAATTATCTACCAAAACAGAAATAATCTTATTACCAAAATGTTGGAAATTGATGAGACAAGCATGTATGTATTACAGAGCTAATTTTTATAACTTTTACAATACACAGAGTGAGGATCTATCTACTGTAAATATTTGCATATAAAGTGCACTTTTTTTCATATCTAAAAAAAAACTGCCAAAAAGTACATGTGCACAATACATGAATATTTACAGTAATCACTCTATTAACTTACCTGGTATATAAATGTGACAATGTTGAAACAGTTTATTCACATCTCTGTTCCTTCCTAATACAATACGGTATATGCCTTTTAAATTTAAAATCAAATATGACTTAACCCATTCACCCTAAAGTCACATTTGAACCTTACCAAACCATAGACTGGGTAAGTCAAGTTTAAATATATTGGGGGAATGAGTTAATTAAGAATACTCTAACAAACAAATTACAAACAATTTTCAATATTCACTTCAGACATGCATACTACACTGAGGTTTAATATATATGATTTACATCTGTGTACTGCAATGCAAACAATGCATCAATAAACAGGCTACAGCTTCAATGCTTAAAACTTATTGATGTAGATTGGATAACTTGCCTTAGAATTGAATAACACATGTCAAATGTGAAAATGAAAACTGCCACAACAAATACTTAATCATGTTATCTCATTTCATCTTTTTTTTAACTCTTTCACCCCTAAAATTTCATAATGAACTATCCCAACCTTTGAACTGGAAGAGTTAAAATGAGTCTTCAGGGGTGAATGAGTTACGTTCATACCAGATATGACAGCTCATTTAAATGATTTCTACATCCGGCTAAGGAATTTAAGTAGAACTTTAAAAAAATACTCATGAATATGCATAGTATGCCAACTGAAAGCAACTCAATGTTAAAATAAACACATAAAAAGAAGAAATATACCTTGGCATAATAAAATTGGTACATACAAGTAGTGTCAACCGGATGCTCTTAAATATCTGTGGAGAATTCAGTTTAGCATGTGCAATGTGTAATTTCTGACATATTGCTGATCATGATAGATAGTGAAGACACTGTTGCTAAAAGGCAAAGATATTGTGCAATTCTTGACAAATGTCAGTCAACTGTAGCCTCTTTGCATCAGAAAGGAAATAACTTAAATGTAAATATTTCAGGAATAATGACCAACAACTATAATCAATTCAACAACCAATGTATCAGGCTATCAGCGCAGTCTACATAAATCATATAGGAAAAGAGCACAAATGTGTTAAATCAGGGTAGTCTTATAAGCAACTCAACACTCTTGCAATTCATATTTGATGAGACATCAAAACTTGATAACATAAACTTACCTGAGTCAGCCATATCTAGATGGTGCGACAGTTCCAGGTGTCCTGGACTCTCCGCTGACACGGTAGTATCGGAGGAATAGCTTTCCGCCGTACTGCCACTACTGTCGAGAGGACTGATGTTGTTTTGTGCACGTAACTCCTGGAATATTACAAGTATCGTTTGTAATGGAACATAACAATCAGACATAAACAATTAGGGCCGATAATTATCATTGCAATGTTTATGTAAAAATCATATTTTTCTATTGTGATCAATTATAATGATAATCATTTAAATTCCTGTCTAGTCGAAACTTGAAATCCTGGCTAATCAATTGTAGATATTACAAGCACATATCAGTACAATTTGATGTATACCCCATTGATATCTAATATAACATTAATCTTAGATAAATAAATATTTAATATTTTCCATGCTAACCTCGAGCTCTGACCTAGTTAAGGTCAACCCCTTACACCAGAATCATCCAGATTTAATGAGTTAACATTACAGCCACATGGAAAATCATCTCAATGTTAACGAGTAGAAATCAGACGTTTGCACATGTACCAGGAAAACGAGCAGAAATCAGACCGTTTGCACATGTACCAGGAAAATGAGCTGCTATCATGATCATCTGACACGGGCTGTGATAAGAATTTTACTGATATATTGACCTATATAATAAAGATATATTATCTCTATATTATATCATGAACAATTCACCACTACATAGGTATGTACTATTGGCTCTAGTATATATATATATAAATACAGGCCTAACTGTACGTACAGGATTACAATTTAACAATCTAATTACTATACTGTACATGTATATGTTAATAGTCACTTGGCATTTTAATACATGTATATCAGTCATTTTGGGAACATCTGACCATGAACAAAATTTTGAAATAACCAGGGCCTTTGTTAGATTTTCAAGTGACACCAAAAAAATTTCAACGCACCAAATATTGTCTTCAAGATAAAAACAACATTTAACATAATGATTTTTTTAATAACCTAAATTTCATATTAGCATTTCAATTTTACTGGTAGTTTGATGTTTAACACAGTAAATTTGTATGACGGGCATTTTTGAAAATAAATTCTTCACATCGTCATAAATTAGTGTTGTTGATATTGTATTCCTGTAATATTGCTGAACTTGAGCTTATTGCTGAAATGAAATTAAAACAGTCTGCACCCCAAGTTTATAAATTATTGATGTAGAAACCCTAGGCCTCGACATATTACCTGATATACGACTACAATACACTGCTCTTTAGCTTCTACGTGTATACGTATTGCATCAGAAAACATGAAAAATACTCAACCCAGGCAAAAGACTGTCCGTACGTATACGTTCACGAAACGTACTTGGTAGAAAAACCAATGGAGTTTTTATTCAACGCTCATGCAGGTCATCATTATTTTACTTTGTACAAGTACATACACTTGAACACATGCTTGACATATCATGTGACCATCTTAAATTATGCAAATCAAATATAAAGCATCCTGTACACATTTCAGCAGGGAGTCAAACTCCTTCCTTTGCTTAAACTTCCTTATAAAAGGTGTATGTGAAGCAAGGTAGGCCAACCATGGAACTTGCCCTCTCCCCTACTCCAATATTTTGGGATAAGATCTCTTGTAGATAAATAACCATGGGAAATATCTATTTTTGGTTAACCAATCAGAAGAAGCCAAGAAAAAAAGGCGCAAACCTGGCAGTGAGCCAGATCCTAGTAAACACCACAGCTTATCATAGGTGAAGGTCATAGCCACACAATTTGTTTTGTGCTGTGGGCTAACATAGTCAGAGTGGTAAAATGTATGCTTGGCGGACTACCACGGGTGTGTGTGTGTCGTAGGGCCCATTGGAGCTAGCACGTATGTGTGCCTACAGAATCTGGATTGAGGTATATCTGCAAAAACCAGCTAGTAGATGGATTTCTTTCATAAGAATATTTTTGCAAAAATCTCAGTGACTTGAATGTTTGGATAAGTGTCTGCTACATGCCTGTACATGTGGTAAGACTTCTGGTCCATTGTGTATGCCTAGGATAGGACACAGCTCATTGCCTTTTATATATATTGCATGTAGCTATTTATAAAACTACCTGGTACTTATATACTAGCACATTGTAAGGTCTGCTATAGTGTCGTATATATACAAACAAGTGTTTAAAATGTGTAGGCTGAGAAAAGTCGAGTTAAAAAGTTCGGTTATACAGGGCTCGTAATATTAATGAGATGGAAATATTGATTTAACGGGGAAACAAACTACGTTTTGCAAATACATATAATATTTGTTGTCGATTCCAGACAATCTCAAGCGTGTAGGTAATTTGATGTGTGTAAAACATGTGCTTTTGTACTGGCTAATAAAACATCGTCGGCAGAGTACAGCCTTTGTACTGGTGAAAGAGGATCAATATAGCCGCCTTCCTTAACGGGCCCAGACCTAATATTACATTGTCCTCCTCAACGTGCATATGGATGTGTAGGGGTATTTAAACTCGGGGCGGGCGGGTTATCATGTGGTGTAGAATTTCCTTAAATCATTTCTATATCGATTCTTCAACATAACACACTTTCCTGGGCACGTTTTAATGTAAATTCTCACAACCGCTGCTTCCTTGGCTGGCCAGACAGAAAACACATAAATTACTCAGCGCAAGTACACAAGAACTCATATTTCTTTAAGCTATATCTAAATTAAGATGTTAGTTGATCTCAATACAGTTTACCAGTATTGTCTGTATACATAAATAATTTAACATAATAAGTCTATAAATTGGTTTTCTAACCAAAGCCACACCTACCATTCACTAAAAGCATATGCAAACACCTACACAGGTATACACTTTTAAATACAATTTCTATAAAAATATTCATTTTTATGTGCATGATGCAATATTTAACCTGGCCATGGAAGCCTACACATATATTTGCTAATTTAATAAATGAGGTATTTATATACTGTAGGCTACACATGTATTTACATTAATATTCATGACCACTTGTGTTAGTGTACATGTATAGCTATATAAGTACTAGTTATACAGCTACGTACATGTGTATTAGCTTACATATCGTAATTTAAGTAAGCCAAACTCTCCTTTATTGTGTTTCAAATTTAACTTGTTTCATCAGTTAGACTGCTGTTGTTCGCTGGCCTTTATGAAATAAGGAGGGACCTATACTGGCTATAGAGGTCAGATGTTGTTTTCTGCTAATTATTCATGAAGTTTAAGAAAAACTTTCAAGTTAAGGTAGGTAGACAAACATGTCAGTCCACATACAATAAAAAGACCAGAATTGTTAATTCTTTTCTACAGCTGTATTATATTAAATGACAACTAGAAGAATGGCTAGCTTCAACTCCACTAGCCCGATGCCTGGGGCTAATACCCTTTAGGTCGAGACTGATGTAAAGTTTCAATATTTACTTTATAGTAATATATATTTTTTTAAATCTGCCTGTAGCCTAGCTATCGCTAGTTCTAGTTATTGCTGAGCAATAAATTGAAAACCCTGAGGCCCTTGAAACCCCTACAATCTATAAGCTTGATTTTAGGCTAACATTTTTTTTATTTTATTTTTAAATCAAGCTTTTATTTTGCCAGTGTTACAGTATGTACATATCTTTTGCTGCTATGATATTTACATGTAAGAAATTTATGCAGATTTCATAAAATATATTCAAAATTTTTACAACACTAAACCTTAAAAAGATAATTAACCAATAATTATCACAAGATCTAGAGAGAGTCGATTGTACACAAAAAAGTTTATCACGATTAACCTGTGGCACCAACAACAAAAATACATTCCAGTGTTATCTGTTAAGAGCCTAAAGTATAAAACAAATGCAACGAACGCTATATTTACTCAGTGATTTTCCTTCCCCAGTTTTACCGCGGAATACAGGCTGTTTCCCCTTGCTAAAAAGTGCCTTATTTTCCCAAAATTAACAAAAACTGAAGAATATATTCCCAAATTCAATACATATAATGCTTTATTTTCCAAACTCATAAAGGAACAGACTGTTGTAAAATTTAGGCAACAAAAACACTGTTATTATTCCTCCGAGCCACCACTCATGTACAGTAGATATATCTATTATATTATAAATGTCATATAATTAATAACACTCTTTTTATATAGTCGTAGGCAACAATAATATCTGAAATTTAAAAACAGAGAAAATAACAGGTGGTAATCTAAATGAATTACCCCTGAAGTATTGTTATAATTATATAAAAAAAATAAAAAAATCTACACTATCCAACCTTTAAAATCTACCTTAGTATTCAACAAGCTGTAAATCACTCAATTTCATTAATTTTAACACTTAATTAATACCTTTTATAACATATACTGCAATTTTGTCTATTCAAATAATTTGTTGAAAACAAATGAAATTGTTTAGTTACATATGGTACAATAAAGACATTGCTTCAAGAAATTATAATGTACGTACGTAAATATACCTGGTACCAGGTAGTAAAATTATTATTGTATTGAGATACGATGAGAACAGGTCAAGTTGTAGAAATTAGAGTATATATATATATAGTAGCCACTAGCTATGTCCTGAATAAATACGAAAATATTGAACATAACTGTTTGATCAACTGAGAGTTATACTTAGTTATAGCTAACAGCCAAATGGATAACATAATTTGTCAGATCACACATTCACTACACATAACAGCCTGAAGGCTGGCTATATCATGCGTTTACCGCGTTTACCCGTTATACTGTATATATACATAAATAGTATTGCATAACCCTTTCACCCCTAGGTAACTTTATTAGACTCTACCATACATTTATCTGGATGAGCCTATTATGGTCCACAGTGGTGAAAGGGAAAAGTTTGAGTGCTAACCTTTTTTAAGGTCACCATGTCATCTGAAACAGGTGATTTGAAAGATTTTTTTGAAATTTTGCTAAAAAATAAGCTGCAATGGCATAGACCTGGACATTGTCAACGTGTACAGTACATGTACAAGGCATTTTTGGGCAATCTATTATTTTTAGTTTAAGTGTGAATCATCTCACCACATTTCTACTGTAAGCAGGCCTCTTAAAACTATTTTCAGCAAATAAATGAATTAACATGTTAACGACATAGTTTTTGAATAATTTCATTTCAAACAAATTTGATTAAAAATTTGGATGATGCATGAATAAGATTGAATAACTTGCCAGTTAGTTCTGTCCGAAACGATTTTAAACTAACAGGGCTACTGTACTGTGACGTCACAATTTCAAGTGTACGCTGCATTTTGGATAATTTCAAAAACTCTTGTGTACATATATATCATATCACCCGGCATATCCTTTTACAAATTAAACAGCCCCCGGAAGAACCTGAATTAATTGATTAACTACTTATGATAGATTAAAACTCTGTCAATTCATTGACAAATCTTTGAAACAGTTTTTCATAGAGAAGAGTACATTTTTATTGTCAACAGTATGTATTCCACAAGAAGTTGGGAGCAAATTAAATTCCAGCTGAGCACTTTTCCAGTGTTTTTCAAGGACAGACCTCATTTCAAGCACTTTTCAAGTATGCACATGTACAATAAAAGATGAAATACTTATTATACACAATTTATAGTCCACTTGCATAAATAATCCGACTGATTACTTCTTTTGATCATAATTTGATTACTAGTCTTTATTCATGATTATCTCTAGTATCCTTATGACATTACTAAGTCACAGTATTACTGATGACATCATAATTGTTAACTGTACATTATATAGTAATATTGATGACAATATAAGGCACTGTGGTGTATCTTTGAGCAAGATACTTTACTCCCCCCCAAGGCCCTGTCGAGGTTTTGCTTGGAATTCTACAGCATGTAGGGGTGGGGGTTATACATACCATACTATATATTGCTTCCATATGATTCAAAACAGAAATTTCCCAGATACAAAATCCAATTGTTGAAATATATTACCCCAAATTAGATTCTATAAATATTTTTAATTTGTTAACTTGACCACACATTATCAAATCTGAAGTGTGTTTTCCCTCTAGGATATACTCACTTCCTCTTACTTGAGAATGCTGGTTATCTTGACCAACGAGCAATATACTATATTACTAAATAGGATTAAGATAATAAGTGAAACACCTCTGGAAATATCAGTGCTTGTACATCATAGAAAACATGAAATCTAGGATTTCATCACATTTGTCTGGATATGTAATCAAACTTGGGTTGTCATGACTGAAAATTATTGCAGTTTTTTGCACTACTGACATCTGATCAATATGTTATACTGAACAATTATAAANGAGGGGGGGTGAATTTATAAAGTAAGGAAAGATGAAAAAGCCATAAGTAACCTTTTAAACTGTCCCCTGTTTGTAGAATATTGAATTAACTAGTAGAAAAAAAATCTTTAGTGATTATTTAGATCACTTTGATGTCTGATTCATAAGTTCTTACGCTAGGGGGAGATAAGCTAGTAGTTAAATGCAGCTATGAAATTCTTCAAAAAATCTTATAGCAAGTCTAATAACCTTTAACAAATCGGACGAAATCACTTTTATTGATATAATACATATATACTAGTGAATTAACATAGTCACATGTCAGTGAAACCTGTCTTTTCTGACACCATGTGAGGCATAACACATTGTGATCAGATTTGTCAGGATGTCACCATACACAGGTCTTGGTAGTTAGTTAGCCAAGATCTCGGAGCATTTAAATGGTCCGGATTATACAGGTTTCATTGTAAAGGCACAAAATCCTTTATCCCAATTCCAAAAATGTTGTGCTTACCTCTTGTCTATGTGATTCATATTGTGTATATTCCAATATCATAGTACAAAACGTATAGAAATCTTCCTTCGTTTTCTTCCGTTTACTCGGAGGCACACCCACAGAGTGCTACAACAGAAACAATGAAATTGTTACGCATGGATAAAGTACAAATCTTGCAATGTATTTAGAAAACTATTTTGATTGAGATGTAACAGTTGTAATGTAAATTGTGGGGAAACTGGCCAGTTTAGTTAGAAATCCCTGTCACCTTCTTTATTTTTCTGTGGCATGAACCCTCATAATTACAGCAGATATGAAGTCCTTAGCAAGATTTCCCCAGAGAAAATAAAATCCAAATATCAACAGATTTATCTGATGCACTTTAACCTGACCATCATAGTATATAATTGATTGAAATTTCATATGAATATTTAGGATTTCAATTTTCGTTTTGTTCAGTTTCAATAGGCACATGACGTCTACATTGAATAAAATGTTCATGTTTAAAATAATTCACGACTCAACTACTTTTTTAGATATTCACAGTTAAATATTTCCTGATTTCAATTTCCATGGAGTATGTAATTTTTCATTTTTCTTCAAATAATTAATCCCCCAGTCAAAACATGATATTGATAGGGGCTCCACAAGGGTTGGTGATACCTAGATTCCACACTACCCCCACTTCCTCCCTCTTTGGATTCCTGTCACTTTTGTGATCCAAAAAGTGGTCTATAGCCTTCATTCACAAAAATTGTTTGTCATTATCAGTTTTTAGCAGGCACTGAGGGTCTAACAATACAGAACAAATCAGATTTGAGTATTGACTTCACAACATCAGTATTCTAAATGTAGTCGGCCAATTCCATTATGACTCCTTGTCATGTAATTATAACAGAACTTTGCATTGGTAGATCCCCTTTACATTCCAACACAAAGGACTAACAATATTGATCCCCTGTTTGATACAGTTCCACTGATCGTGTAGGGATTAATAAGCAGTGCAACGTATGGTTCAAACGCTGCATTTATCTTACAATATTCACAGTTTCTAATAAACAACATGCTGTGCATAACATGGAAAATTGTTAAAATTTGTTGATTTTGGTCATATAGACATGCATCGAACACATTTCTCACGAAAATTTGCAATTAATTCATATTATTATTACACAAGACCATTTTGAGTAAACTTGATATGTCAATCATAATTCTAGAACAAGTACCTCAGCCAGATTTTTTTTAAAATTCAGAATTGTGAATATGTTCAATGAAACACTTCATTTAATTTCAAATGAGTAATAAATACACTCCAATTCTTTGTCAATGTAATTTACGAAACAAATAACACATCAGCCTTCCACTAGAGATCACACATGTGTGCCACATATGTCTACAGGTTAAAGCTCATTCTGTACATACATTTAAATCAAATTGTGAGTCTATCCATAGGATTCAATACTTTAAATACACCAACTTGGCATATTGTTCACTTACTATAAATGCCAATATAACATTAATCTACACTTGTACCGAACAGCGATCAATTACAAGTGTCCCGTTAGTGTTAAAAACTCTACTGGCTCATTGAGTTCTTGCTTTCGTTGTAACTGGGTCATGCTTGTTTGTTTACTCAAGCCACTCGCTACTACGTCACTCATGAATATTTATCAGATAGAGTGGTACAAGCAAAGTATCGGAAGTCCATGACTGGCTACGAGGCACTGGGCAGGAATGAATTTAGAACGACGCCGGCTTTCAAATGTGTGTTCTTTCCTAGACTACATTTTCCTATGTACTTTATGAATTTGAAAGCAAAATTTACCTAAGCTACATTCAAACTAGCAGACCTTATTCCTATAGGAGTGTGTTGAATGTACACCAAATTAAGATGGTTTACGATAAGCTTTTAAAATCAGCTAGACAGCCAAAATATGTTTAAAACAACTTGACAAATAATTTATTCAACAAAAAACTTCAGGGTTTAGAACTTTAGGGTGTTTTAGACCTGTACACAGACAACTATTGAACTCTGACATTAACAAAAGTGAACAAATTATACGCAAAATGTCAGCGTGTACATTTGTTGTCACAAAGTGTACACTATATATAATTAAACACAAAATGCAATGTTTTCCTGTTTTTAAAATTCTCTAAGTTATAACGTTAACACTCCCTTCTGTATTAATTGTCTATTGTGTATGGGACATTGTTGACATATGACAAAGTTTGGAAATCAATATTGAAAACATACATATTGTATACTTTGAGTTTTAGATATCTATTTTTTATATTTCAAATCATCTCAGTGTTCATATTTGACACTAAGCAGAAACCGCTTCAAACTAGAGTTGGCCCAACGCAGGGAAAGCTGGTCACATACTAGCCATTACACACACCAACTTGGTTGACTAAACAACTCGAATGTTGGCCTCAAACTACACATTACTAGACTGACTCTAGTACAAGTTCTAAACGATAAAATGATGACAGTGGTTACTTTAGATATTATGAATAATCCATGATCGAAAGGTTACACTTTTTCTCAAAGAGAAACACGGAGAGGAAACGACGGCCCGTTTCAATGTTGAATCGAACATGAACGTTTGAAAATGGCTGACAGACCACACCGCCGCCATATTGTCATTAGATGAAGTGCGAACATATCATGAAAGAAAAATAGTGTAAAATACTTCAACTTACCTCAAAATCGTGCCTATTTATTGGCCTCCTATTCCGGGGGGCTGTAAACACAGATTGAAAATGAATTTGTGCTAAAATAATATGTAAAAACAGTCAAAATTCGAAGTGAAGTACTGGCCCACCGTGCAGTACACAATGAAATTTTAGCACAACAGATTTAGCGATCATGTCACTCGACAGTTTATTTTGACTACGACCGTTAGTGGTCGATCAATGGTGTTGAGTATTGTTCCGAAGATTTAAAACTTCAATAAAAACCAAGAAATGATAATATCTGAGAAACCATTTCAGAGGAAACAGTAAATTTCTGAAACGATAGACCCTTCTGCTCGAGATCCAGAATGGAGTTGACACGAACCCCGGCTTCTGATTATTGCTGCACAGAGAAATATGAACAAATTTTATGACTCAAAAGTACTTAAATTAAGAAAACAAACCTTTAAATATGTCATCTGTCATAGCTGTTCCAATTTTCCTTCCACCGTATTTAATTCCAACGACCTAAAAGGTAGTCCTTTTCTGTGTCAGACATACAAACGGAACTTCCACTGCGAGAAATGTGATCCAACGCTACAGCCCACTTGCCTTGCGCAGGGGTCGTGACCCAACTCGTTTGCATCTCGACTGTGACGTTTTGACTCAGATCTAAAAATAGTCCATAACATCACTTCGGGGTCAAGGCTACAAACAGCGGCGTAGACTTGCGTTAGACCGCGGAATTATGAACAGCTAAAGAAAATTTACTATAAAAATTATTAGAAAATCAATTGCACAATGCCATAGAACTTTACTATCTATAGCTTTTGTATCAACATTGTAGACTTTTTCTACCGTTTTCATAAAAAAAACATTAATTTTTGAAGAACTCACTGTCGAAGCTAATTAATATGACCACGGACTTAGATTAATTCCGTGAAATGACAGATCAAAGTGGAAACATTTTCTCCACATGTTTTAAAAATCGTTTGATAATATCACTGAACTACATCTTAGTCCGTGATGATATTTGAAATTCATTTATGAATTTCCAATTTGTTTTAATATTGAAATATCTTTTTCTAATATTTAAAATCATTCTTAATAAATAAATGAATATTTGTTTTGCATACATTTTTATACGACATAATTGTTTATCAAATACGATCTTTTAACATAGGCCTGCACAGTACTTGAATCGATGAACACTTTGGGAGACCGTTTCAGGAAATACACGCATTACCAAAATTACTAAAGTCTACTTACATCTTATGCCTTATGTGGAACCTATTTCGGTAAATGCAAACGCTGATTCTGCATCACGGCTTCCAGCAAAATCATTGATTCAAAACTTATTAATAGGAAATTCAATTTTGTGTTAAACTGAAGCAACTGTTTTGTTGAGAATTTTTACAGTACCCTTTAGAACTGAAGAGGCTGGGAGGCCAACTGAAAACTGCACGAACATCTTTTCACAATGCATGACCACTAAAGTTGTGTAGGAATAACACAGTACTTTCCTTCTTTTTCTGGTATGTCATCATCTCTATAAAAAAACCAGTAATATTGAACATGTCAATTACCCGAAACTCATCGAAACCCAGAACACGTATATTATCAGGGACCACTCTGATTATGTGGAACACGTCAATAATTCAGGAGACGTATATAATTGAGATAGAAACCCGTCGAAAAACTGGAACATTTCAATCGTTAAGAACGTGCGACTAATCCGAATCACATCGATAATATGTAACTCGTCGATAAAAGTAACATCATAATAAACCGAAGCACATCTATTATCCGAAGCATATCGATAATCTGGAATACATCGAATATTCGAAACAATTGACAATCCGGAAAATGTCGATAAACCGGAACACATCGATTATCCGGAATACATCGATAATCAGGAATACGTTAATAATACGGAAGTACACCGATAAACTGGAACTTGTCGATAATAAGGAACATCATAATAAACCGAAACACATCTATTATCCGAAGCACATCCATAATCTGAGATACATAGATAAAATGGAACACATCGAAAATCCGAACCACGTCACATCGATAATCCGGACCACGTCAATAATACGGAACAAGTAAATAATTTGGAACACGTCAATATTACAGGAAACTATGACCCACAGTTACAACAATAGCTAGACTGGAAAGGGAGATCGCGATATCGCCAGCAAAGTCGGAAGAAATTTGAGCACAGTTGTGTATTGCTGCGGTAACGATAAGTGCCTCGTGAATGGTGATTATAATACACAGGTTATGTTCTGTCTGGTACCGCAAAATGCGCGTACTGAGAAAATAAAGGCATTTTCATGATTCGTAATAGGGATGCTTAAAATCTATCGGAGATTCACTGCTCAGTCTCGTAAATCGGTTCTATTTCTCTTTAGAATTTCTATAAAGGCAGTTATATTTGAAAATGGGAGCTAGCGAAACAACGTTCGGCATAAAAAAAACACAGATATTCCCTGCAAACACGTTTTCACTAAAATACGTTTCCTTTTTTCGAAAACACCAGTCTCCAATACAGAGGTGTGCTTCAATACATAACATATAGATTGCAGGTTTGTCGTTCGATCAATACTTTAGTACTTTAGGACATCATATGACCTACTTTTTTGTCATCGAGAAGGACATATAATCGATATTTTAGGACATCATAATCTGTATGGACCTACATGCTAGTCATCTAGAATGTCACGTTAGCTTCCGTAGAGAAACATTTATGAAAAAAAGTTGACACAAGGCCAAGGGTGCTGTACTGGCGACGTCGAACGTCACAATAAACAAACGCCAGAGTATCTATGACTGCATCTTGAACAAAATAGATTATTTTAAAAATCTTAATACTGATAACAGTGATGTGGAAGAATTTCAGTTACCTACATTAGAGGAAAATTTGTATGACAATGTTTTAAATGGTCCAATAACTGAGACCGAGATAAGGAAATCTGTTAAAAATCTTAGTAATTTTAAAGCACGTGGAAACGATGAGATCCTGAATGAACATATATAATATTCATTAGATCCTTTTATAAATATATATGTCAAATTATTTAATACAATATTAGATACTGGTATAATACCTAAGTCATGGACTGTGGGGCTAATTAAACCAATAAACAAAAACAAGGGCGACATTAATCACCTTGATAACTATAGAGCAATAACTTTAGTATCGTGTTTGGGAAAACTTTTTACATCTATACTAAATGATAGATTGAGTCAATTATCTGATCAAATAAATCTTATTCGTGGAAGCCAAGCTGGCTTTAGGAAAGGTTATGCTACTTCAGAAAACATTTTTGTAATGCAAACACTTATATCAATGTATTTCTCCTATAATAAAAAGTTATATTGTTCATTCATTGACTTTAAAAAAGCCTTTGATACAGTGTGAAGGGTTGGACTTTGGGAAAAATGCTGAGAAGCAATATTAATGGCAAAATACTAAATGTAATATATTACTTATATACTGATACTAAGTCATGTGTAAAAATCGGAAACGAGCAGACTCAGTTTTTCACGTGCAATATCGGTTTAAAACAAGGAGAAAATTTATCGCCATTTCTATTTTCGATCTACTTGAATGATCTAGAGGAGTTCTTGTTTAATAATGAGGTGAAATGTCTCCAAGATATTGATAATCTTAGTCAAAATGGTATTGGAATGTACCTAAAATTGATTATTTTGTTATATGCGGATGACACTGTTGTACTGGCAGAATCGCCCGAGGTCTACAGAAAGCTTTAGATGTATTCGGCGATTATTGTAAAATACGGAAATTACATTTTAATACAAATATATCTAAAATAGTTGTCTTTTCGAAACGAAAATCGAAAATCAATAGTACATTTATGCTTTGGGGAGAAGAAATTGAAATTATAGATTCTTATCCCTACCTTGGGTTGTTGTTTAACTATACTGGAAACTTTGGTAATACGAAAAAGAAACTAGCTGATCAAGCCCAGAAAGCATTATTTTTGCTTTATATAAGAAAATCAGAAATATCAATTTACCAGTTGACCTACGGTTTGAACTTTTTGATACATTAATATTGCCGCATCAGAGATATGGGGATTCGAAAATATTACCCTCCTGGAAACGATACATCTGAAATTTATAAAAAAAAGTTCTCAATTGAAGAAAATCTACGCCTTATTATTTAGTATATCGAGAAACGGGACGTTTTCCTTTAGAAAATACTATTAAAAGTAGAATGATTTTATTTTGGTACAAACTAATAACAGAAAACGCTTAAATTTCGAGTCAGTTATATAATATTATACATGCAATACACGAAACGGGCGCATTTCACTCGAAGTGGCTAAATTTTATCAAAACTACACTAAATGATCTAGGGTTGACATATATCTGGACATCCCCAACAGGGACTACTCTAGAACGACAAAACCTTAAACATGTTGTAACACAAAAGCTTAATGACCAGTTTATTCAAAAGTGGTATGCCGATATAGAAAAAAGTATAAGAGGACCAAATTATCTATTATTTAAATCTAATTTTGGTTTTGAAAATTACTTAACTCAATTAAACAAGAGGGATCGTGTTGTGTTATGCAAATTTCGCTCGTCAAACTTGCCGCTGCCCCTGGAAACTAGCCGTTGGATGGGAATTCCTCGAGAGGAAAGAGAATGTACTTTGTGTAATAGAACTGAAACAGGAGATGAATTTCATTATTTGTTTAAATGTCAACAAGAATCCATACCCCAGATTAGGGAAAATGTATCCCAAAATATTATTACACGAACCCAAATGTCGAGAAAATGAAATGAATGTTCACAATATGTAACAAACGGTTAGTACATTTCTTGTAAAACTGCAAATAATTATAGAAAATAACAATTGAAATAAATCAGTATGTCAAAAATACTATACTTTGCATTATGGCAAATCTGAAGATAATTTGTTGTGAAAATTGTGTATTCAATACACAAGTATATGCAGTTACACTATTAACTACATAGAACATATTTTTTTTATGTATCTTTAATATAGTGTTGAATTTTTTCTAATGACTAGTAATGGAATGAGTGTGTGTATGTTGTATGGAAACATATGTACATCAAAAAAATGTTTGCTTTGATAATGATGATGATGATGATGATTGGTAATGGATGATGATGATGATGATGATTTTGATGATGATGATGATGTCTGAGTGTAATCTTGCTTTATCATACTTAAGAAATAATGCTGAATCTGACCATGAAATAATGATTAATCTGTCCATGAAATAATGATTAATCTGTCCATGAAATAATGCTGAATCTATCTATGAAATATTGCTGAATCTATCCATGAAATAATGCTGAATCTATCTATGAAATAATGCTGAATCAATGCTGAATCTGTCCATGAAATAATGCTGAATCTGACTATGAAATAATGATTAATCTGTCCATGAAATAATGATTAATCTGTCCATGAAATAATGCTGAATCTATCTATGAAATATTGCTGAATCTATCCATGAAATAATGCTGAATCTATCTATGAAATAATGCTGAATCAATGCTGAATCTGTCCATGAAATAATGCTGAATCTGTCTATGAAATAATGATTAATCTGTCCATGAAATAATGATTAATCTGTCCATGAAAT